AACACATTGTTTAATATCGATCTATGTGTCAATTTCATTACTGATATTTAAAAGAAAAAAAAAATCTTCGTGATTATTTTTAGAAACCTTGAACGATTTAGTGTTTTTATTGTTTAAGATATTTTTCAAGTTGATTGCGGTTATGTTTTTTGTGAGAATAATATAAGATAAAAATAATCGTTGAAGCAATGACCCAAAGTTAAAGATATTTGTTTTTTTTTGCAGACATGTCGTTCGTTTGTGATGTATTAATAAAAAAATGCATACACTTCTGTGATCATAATTCTGTCTCGATTATTTTCGCCTCGATGAGTAATAGATTTACATCACATTAATCAATCAATCATGTGCATTCATATCCTGAAAGAAATTCTATTGACAATCAAGTTTCATCAACAATATATGATAGATTTTATAATGTATTATAGGTAATAGTTTGTTGACCAATGTTGTCAAATTGGAATTCGAACAAGAATATTATGATCATATATTGGCCAGATGGTATGTACATCATAATTTTCTTTATATGATATTCATATCCCCTATCCTGAGATATTCACTATTGGAAATTTTCTCATATGTAAAAGCAAATTTTGTTTATATATTAACATCTTTAGAAAGGAAATACTAGAAAAGCTAAAAGTTGTACAATCAACTAATCTCATTAAAAACTTTGTTCGTGCAAAGTTTGAAGTCGAAAGTCGATTTTTCATGTAACCGACAGAGACCACAACTTTTTGTTGACAAAACCCAGTAAAATTGCCATATCTCGAGAATGCGAAGACTCGGAAAATTAAATCATTCTAGACTTTTCTATTACTTTCTAGTGCACTCATCGTATGAACATCGTCTCGATTGAGAAGTGGTTTGACACTTGAAGAGATTCTCTTGTCAGTATTTCTGTTGTATAGTATCATCAATGTTGAAATTAATAACTTTAAAGCGAAGATATAAAACAATGACATAAAAATCTAAATGATAGATTTGTCTAGAAAAATATTCATTTCCGACATAATCTTGTTCAATTATCTGCAATATTTACAATCATTTTGCGTTCTTGTATATAATTTGCAATCAGGATACAACAATTCAATTGAGAAAACAAACAACAAACTAACAAAATAAAAAGAATTAACTAAAAAAAAAGAAATGATATCAATTTTTTTTCCGATCTGTTAGAAAATAAATATAACATATTGATATTTTTACAAAAGAAAAATAAATTTTAAAAATTCTATTTATAATATTATAATGTAAAAACAATTTATTAAAATAAATTCAACGCGCTACAAATTATAAATTCAATATACTTTTCCTTCTGTAAAAATGTATCAAAATTCTTATTAATCCAATATTAACTTTGTTATGTTTAATGTTTTTATTATTCTAATTTATTTTTCTATGCAAATTCAATTAAATAAGCAATATTCATCATCAGAAATTAATGAAGCACGTGATGAAATTTTTAAATTACAATATAATTTAAATAAAATAGAAGAATTATATCATAATCTATATTCAACATTGAATGATCAACAAATACATGTTGAAGAAATTCAAACATCTATTAATCAAACACAAACAAATCTAGAAAAAGGTGGTTTAGATTTACATCAAATATTACAATTAAAAAGAAGAAAAGATAAACATCGATGTTTTATTATTATATTTATATGTACAATAGCTTGTTTCTTTTTTCTTATGGTTATTACTGTTCTTATTAATGTTATTAAAACATTTGGATTTAAACGAACAACAAAATCAATTAATGATGAATAAAAAGAAAGAAAAAAAAACCTAATTTTATATTACATAGTCTTTTGAAAATAAAATATCATCAAATTCATTTATAAAAATAAAATATTATCTTACATTTATAGATATTTAAATATAATAAATGAATAAGTTAATTTTTGAAAAATCAATTTTTATTTTAGTTTTACAAGAATAACGGATAGTGCAGATTAAACGGAACAACCTTATTTCCTTTTTTTTTTTTTGACTTCTCTGATGTACTTTCAGAAAGTCATTCGATAGAGAATTTTTTTTCTCTACAAAACTGTTGCATTTGTTTTTCAAAATTTTAGAAGAAACATTTATTAGAATAATTATGAAGTAAAAAAATATCTGACAGAATTATATGTTTGTTCTTTTTTTGATTTGATACAACTTAATCCTTTGTGTTCTTCAACTTAGAAGTCACACCATTGTATTCATAATTAAATTCTATATCCGACAACACGAGAACTACTGTGTCATATACTGTCTCACTTTGGAAAACATGGTTTTTTTTGTGGTATGCCTAGAAAAATATCATTAGATTTTAGTCCTAAGGTTTTTTTTTCTCATGAACGATAACATCAAAAACTTTTAAAAAGTCGTGGAAGTAGAGAGCACAAAATTCTCTATTCATTGATGCTAATTGCATTTAGTTTTTTGGACCAAAGAATTATACAAATTGATAGATATCTGCAGAAAATCGAAAATCACAGTTAGACAATTGAGCAAATGTCCATACTTTAAATTTTGTTCCAACAAGAAAAATTTATTTAAGATTTTGTCCTATATATTATCGGAGAAAAAAGATGTGCTCATGTCTTGTTTTTCGATTGCTGAAAAGAACAGATCACTGACTGATTGTATTCTCGATTTATTTAATTTTTAATTGATTATCTTTAAGGCTCGCGCCGACATTAGAAATAATGTCGCTATACATAGTTTAGATTTTAGTTTTTCAAGTTATTGGTTCCGATACTAACGGAAATCTATGAGTCTGTTCTCATCAGATTTTGAAATGTAAACAATCGTCTTTTGAATAGATATTTTAAATATCGAAACGTGTAAGAAAAATACTACTATTATTTTGTTCAAATCTACTTATTTCAAATAGTTTTCATATTTTCAAATGAACAATTCATAAGATCCTCTAAATAACTTGACAGTTTAAGTCAATAAAACAATCAATAATTGTTATTCATTTCCGAAAGAAAAAGTATTCATTTAGTAATCAAATTTTATTTTATAAGACATAATTATCAATCGTCTAATGGATGGCCACTGTAGAAAACTTTATTTTGTGCATTTTTCGATTGATTGTACAATTAATGCAAGTTATTGGGGAGTCTATTTCGAACGATTTTATTTTTTAGACATATCTTTTTTATTAGTCCATTGCTACAGTATTATTGTAAATTAATTTTTCTATATCACTTTTGTGTCAGATGTTACTATTTGTCAAAGACTCGTATTGAAATATTAAGCGTTTTTTTTTTTTTATTAAATGTGACATAAAACATTATTGCTTTTCTAAGTGACTTACTAAAAATACTTTTAAGTAGGAAAAGTTTTTTTTTTTTAATTTGTAAAGCACTTTATTTAAATTTGTTTTTGAAAAAGCTGGCTTTTTAAGTAACATAAACAAATTGTCTCAAGTGACAAACTATGATTGTATAAGTTAAAAATCTATTTGCATAGTTATTGTATTAATAAAGCTTTATTACTTTTCGTGATCGCCTCTCTATACCATTAGAAAATTTGCTATCTTTTACCTTATCAACTATACGTCTAATTATTTCCTTTTGTTAAGCAACTCGAAGGTCTATTTTCATTTCGTTGTTCGTTTTTGGTGAATGAGTTTTCATCTTACTGTGTCTCTATAAAATTTACTATTTGTTATCAAATCACTGATCTATCAGATCAGCAATGAATAACTATATTTTTCAAACGATGACTATACATATATAAGAGCAAGCTAAAGAAAAACTAAATATACTAGAAAAGATACATTAAGGAGAAGAAAAGAAATCTTTGAAAAAAAAACCTGAAACTAAGAAAAAACAAATAACAGAACACATATTTATGTTGCATTGATCATCTGTACGGTAATATAGTAGAACAAAGAAAGAAAAAAACAAACATCAAATGTAAGTAAGTTGCATTCAAACATCATTGTTCGTAACTTTGAAGGGAACATCATCTACTGAAATTGTACATTACATATATTCCTCATAGTCATCTTTCATAGTAACTTTATCTTATCGTAATATTTATGTTAAATTATTTAATTTTATATTTTATGAATTTAATTAATTAGCTTAATGATCAAATATTAAATTTCTATATTAATTATCAAACTTAGTAAAAATTTGGATTACTAAAGAACATTAAACTAATAGAGTGTTTAAGAAATTTGCTACACTCAACTTGCTAATCATTTACTAAATGGAAACAAATATTAGCGAAAAGAAAAATTGCATCTTTCTTAATAAATTGAGTTATTAAAATTGATATCAATCAAACTATTCCCACATATGAGAAGAATCGAAGCACAACTTGCCATATGATACAGCAAAAATTTTGCAAACTTATAGATTCATAAAATGAATGATGGATGAAATTCTTTTTTTTTTTTAAATGAACATCAACCAGTCTAACACAATGCATCTACTCAGGTCAAACGGTAAGATCTTTCAAGAACCTTATATTATGATGTAGTGTAAGACTTCTGAAACTATGATCTTTTGTACGACTTTTGCCTAATCTTGCAGGAACAGAGGTTAGAGTCCATCGAATCCAAAATTTTTGGACTTGGACTCGGTCGAACCATACTTTGTTACTCTCAATGAAATATTCTAATCAGAATTTGATAATCACTTCCGAAGATACGAGATACTTTTTTTTTGTGGTATTTTGTATTCAGTGCCTAGCGCATTCTACACATTTCTCAGACGACTAGAATCTGTCGGATCCGAGACCAACTCGACAGACTCAGGTAGAGATACGATCTTCTTGTTTGACCTAGGTATATTTGCTATCTGGAATTATGCTTTGCGTTGTATTATTTCAAATTTTACTCGATAACATGGAAGTACAATCAAGATTTATTGATAATAAAAAAAAAAAAATCTTATTAATCATAAAGCTCGTATGTTATGAAATTTTAAAAAGAAGAAAAAAAAATGGTATCTGAATTCATACAAAATAAATAGATAAAATTAAGTCTATTTTGTTTTTCTTTTTATTTTGTATGTTGAATTTGGTTCATTAATAATTGATAATCTATGAAGAGATTCTGGAGATAAAACAGTTGATTTCATAAGAAATTGTTTAACTGCTTTATTACTTGTTAATTTATATGATTGACATAATTTTTGATAACGTATTAATTGTTCAACACCTTCTCGAATAATTTCATTTTGATCTTGTATTATTTTATGAATTTCCATAGGATTATCTTTAATTGATTTTGTTTGACTATCCGAAGAAACAGTAGATGGACTTTTAGATTTATTTTCATTTCGATTTTTTATTGAAGAAAATATCGACTAAATTATTAAAAAAAAATAATAATTACATATTCTAAAGGCTCTCGAAGTTTTCTATTATCCTGTACATATATATTTTAGTTTTTACTTATAGTCAATTAGTTTTTAAAATTTCTTATCACTACAGAATTACTATTTAAAAAAAAGTTATTATATATTCTAATAGAGCTTGAAATTCTCTATCATCTCGTAGATTTCCAGGTATTTTACATTTTATTATTGCAACAAATAAATACAAGACAATAGGTGACAGAAAATTTCTAGTTCTATCAAAATACATAATTACTTTTTTTCTTAAAGGTTCTTATATAGTGACAAAAAAATTTAGAAATTAATTTTGGTGGCGGTGACAAAATGAAGTCTGTGGCAATCTAATTATGAGAATGCTTCATTACGCTCGGGGTATTTTTGTAGTGTGTAAGTATAAACTAAAACATAAATACACAAAATAATAGAAAAACTCCAGGGTCTTTCAGAGTATATAATTCTTTTTTTTTTTTAATATGTTTTAATAGTGATAATTTTTTTAAAATACGTATTATTCATTTCCAGGTTTATATATGAGTATATGTTACTACCTCTATATTTGATTTATTTGAAATTAATCTTTTTTCTGTATCGATTTTTAATGGAGAAGAAATATTAATTGTTAAATCATTATCAAAAGCATTATTATTAAAATGAATATTTTTTGTTTGTTGAAGAATTGATTTAAATTCATTGACTATATTTCTTTGATGATATTTTATTGAATCATCAATATGATCGATAGATGAAAGTGATATTTTAGATTTTGATAATTTTGATATTAAATTTTTATTTTTAACATGTAAACGAATTAAATCTTTTGAATGAGAAAAATATTCTTTATTACTATTTAATATTTTCTCAAATGAAGATGGTAATGTATTAGATTTAAATATTGAATTGTTTGTTATACATGGAATAATTTCTGTTGAATGATTATTAATAGACTATAAAAATATTAGAAATAAATATATTGCAATGATATTTGATAATTTAACAGACTTTTAAAGAAAGATCTTGTTGTTGATGAGGTAAGATTTCTTTCTGTGAGTAATTGTTTTCATTATTAGGAAATATATTGGATGTTTGTTTGACATCATCATATGATAATAAAAAAGTATTGTTTGGACATTCCATATTACAAATAGATGATTTTATATCTATGTATGGTAGATATTAACTATAGAATATAATAAGTTCAAGATTTTGAACTTAATATATATTATTAAACTTACTTTCTTCAACAAGTACTTTTGAATGATTATCATTAGATAATAATGGTTGAACTTCGATATCAATAGATGAATTTGATAATATTTTCTTTTGAGATGATCTATTTGATGTACGAATATGTTTTCGTTTTTTTCGATGACGATATTTATGTTCATAATGTTGATTAGTATGATTTTCTTTTTTATATGAATGTTTTTTTTTATTGATCTTATTAAAATTTTTCTTTGATCGATGTAAACAAATTTTTTGAGAATCAACCATAGATAAATTCGAATTATTAACTTTTGAAATATAGAATTATAATAAATGATATTCAAAAAACAAACTATTAGAGTGTAATCACTTCACGAATCAAATGTGAAACACAATGTACCGGCTGTTACCAATCACAGACAGATTGTTGTATTTTAACTATATTGGAACATATTTTCTCAATGTTCTTTTATTTAATCATTCAGAAACACAATAAGGACATAGTAATAAGATGTTTCTCATCAATGGTCTGTGACATGGAGAGAGAGAGAGAGAGAAGAGTGCTGCTAAAACGTCTGTCATAGTCTTTGAAATTTCGATGATTATGTCTGTCACAGTATGTGATGCGAATAGAAGAAAGAGCGCTGGTAAGGCGTCTGTATGAAGGGAAGACATTCTTAAGGATGTCTGTCACGTTTGTGATCAGGCAGTTCCAGCGTGTCTATCATATCTCTGATGAGTAGTTTCCCACGTGTCTATCACGTTTTTGATGATTCCTTGTTAAGAAGTCTGACATGTCCGTGGGGAATCTAGATATCTATTCTTATACTTCTTTTTGGATTATATTTCATACGCAAAAAAAAAAATGTTCGTCATATAATACCTTGTCTATATTGTTTTCTCATTGCTATTGATTTATTTGAAGTTTTTTTATCTAAATATTTAAATTTTGATGATAAATCTTCTTCGGATTTTATTTGTAAATAATGTTTTTCTGGTTCGATTGATGAATTATAATTGAGATTTCTAGCTGTAGATCGTCGACAACGAGAAGTTGGTAATCGAATATTTTTATTTTCTTCATTTCGATCAATATGAATAATTTTCGAAGTTTCAATAGTATTTGCTGATATAGAAATTCGGTCACGTTTAAATGGTGATAATCGAAGATAAGAAAATAAATTAAAGAATGTAGTAAAAAACCGTTTTTTTACTGTCGATAATACTGTTAATGAATTTGGTTGAGGATAATATTGCATGTTTATGTTTATATCGTGTAATAGTTGTTCATTATTCTATAAAAAAAATAATATCATTTAAATGATTGTAATCATCAATAAAAATATCATGCAATGTTAAAAAGATATTTTTTAGTATATGTAATTTTAGAACATATTAGGTACCACTTTTTTTCATGATTTATACGAAGAAATATTCTTAGAAACAGTAATAATAAATACTTAAAGAAACTTATGTTTAAAGGAAACATGACTAGTCTTATTTGATATTTTTTTATCAGTAGTTATATAATTAGATATAGATTAATGAAATGTTTTAGTTTAATTCGTTTATTTAAATTTATTATCTGTTATTTTTTTTTAAAAGACATTAAATTTATTGTAAGATATTTATTACCGGTTGTTGTTTGATTGATTTTTCTGTTTGAAATTCTTTTATTTTGATATGATTAAACTTTTGTTCATTATCAGTATCAATAGCATTATTATTTCGATTTTTATTGCGTTGATTATAATAATGATGATTGTCTTTTGTACTAACAGTAGTAGTAGTACTAATTGTTGATGTTTCTATTGAAGTACTATTTGTATATGTTGAATTTTCATCTGATATTGATGTTTTAGAAATTGAAACTGTCGATGAAGATGTTGAATGACTTTTCTTATTGAAACCTTTTTTTGATTTAAGAATATTACATGATGTTTGTCGATCAATTTGTTGTATTATATTTGTTTGTATACCAATACTATTCATATTTTTATTTTTATTTTTAGAATTTATTCCTAATGAATAATTTTTTCTCAAAAGATTATTATTTAAAATAGATTTTATTTGATCGGAAGTTAATGATTGATTTTGAGATGAATATTGACATTTTTCTAATGATTTTTGACCATTTTGACTTAAAGCTGATGTTTCTGATTCAATCCATAAACGTTTAAGCATTGATTGTATGTGATTTGATTGTTTAAACGATGATGATGATGATGATGTTGATTTATGATGAATATCTTTATGTATTGGTTTAATAAATGATGAATTTTTAATTTTTTCTTGTTGTTGTATTTTAACTCGAACACCTGAATGAATATTAGATAAAAATTGACGATTCCATGCTTGTTGAATACCTTTAATTATAAGTTGTTCTTTTGTTTGTGAATTATTTCGAATAGAATCATATTTTGAATTATTAACATTCATTGGTTTTAATATAAAATTTTTTTATCATCGTTATATTTTAACATAAGACACAAAAAATTATATTATTGATTGGTTTTTTTTCCAGTCATAACAACAATAAATTATTTTGTTTTCTTTCTTTGATAGCGGTAACTAATCTATTAACTAATAATAATAATTAATGGAAATTAGTTGTAATCCCTATCATACATTACAAGAATGAAGTTGATATATCAATGTGAATATTGAACAAAATATTTATTGACAATCGACTGAGTTTTTTCCAAAAAAGAAAAATACAAAAAAATTGTTTTTTGGATTTTAAAACTTTTTTTTTTTTATAGACAGATCAACTCTACGATATATTTATTTCGTTTGTTTTTGTTTTTTTTTTTTAATAAAATTTTTTGAAAAACAGACATAAAACAGAAAAAAAATACTACTCTATATACTAATATGCAACTGATGATTAAATAGTCACTAGGAACTAAGTAAAACTGATTGCATTAATGGAGCAAGATGATCATTATTAACAGTCTGTTTCGATACTGATTCTTTTGTTTTTCGTCCTAAAATTTGTGCTTTCATACCAGCAAATATAAGACGAGAAAAAATCGATGCAGTTAAATCACTACTAAAACGTACATCAAGATATTTCCAGAGAAGATCAGTAAAAACATTTTGTGCATGAAATATTTCATGTGGATGTATCCAATATGGTTCATTTATATCGGATCCTTTTGAAAAAATCATAATTAACATAACTATTTTAAGTATTAAATGATCATTTGAACATATATCTTGAACTTCTTTAATAAACATCATTGATTGTTGATAAACTTCTTCAGAATAAAGACGTAATTCACCAGCATGATAACAATAATCATTTGCAGTATTTGGTTCATGATATATTTGTGTATGTATATTAACACACATACATAAATGAAAAAATAAAGCAGCCAATAAATTATGTTTAACTAATACAAGTCTATCATCTTCATGTAGACACTAACAAAACAAAAAAAGCTTTTCACTCTTTTTGTTTTCCTTGATAAATAAATAAAAAAAACAAAACTTACATTAAATTCAGGTGTTAATTTTAAAAAAGTAATCGTGCGTAATGTACTGATTTGTGCTAGTTCATTAACAATATTAGTTAGATGATTGAGATTTCTTAAACATGGTGAATCATAACCTTTTGCAACAGATATATTTAATTGAACAGCACGTGTATAGTTTTCATCAATTTTTGTTAATAATATTCTATCATGATCATTTAATAAGATTTTATAATCAAATTTACTTTGATTTATATTATTATTATTATTATTATTATTATTAAATATTCCTTTGATTGGTTTAAAGTCATTTGTATCATTATTATCATCAAAAAGATATGATGTATCTTTATTATTATCATTATCATCCTCATCTTCATCATCCTTAACAAAATGTTTTCGATATTCAACTGAAAAATTAAAACATTCAGTTTCAGGAACAATTGATGGTGAAGTTGATGGTGTTATTGAAAACATTGTTGAATTTTGTGACATAGCACGTAAACGACGATTATCTTCAATTTTTTGTTTTTTTGTACGTTTTTCTTCTTCGGACATGATCCATTCTTTACGTAAACCTTTGTCAAAACATTTTTTAAGTCGACATGCTTTACATCTCTAAAAAAATTAAGAAAATATAATTACAAAAATAAATCAATTTATTGACATACTTTTCGTGTTTCTAAAGAAATAACACAATCATCAGTGCCCGAACGACATTTTAATTTGCCCTAAAATTAATTAAGAAATTTTTTTTATTTTAGAAAAAAAATATAATTTCAAAAATATATTTAAGAAGCTTACTGCATTAGCTAATGCATTTCGACGAAAAAATGCTTTACAGCTTTCACATGTTATTTGATCAAAATTATAGCCTGGAATCATAAGAGAAAAAAAAATGGTGTTAAATAAAGAAAAGAAAAGAAATATTAAAGATAAGATATGGTGTCACATGTTATTTCTATTTACCCATAGCTGGTGCATGACAAACAACACAAATGAGATCATGACGATCACGTTTACGAGAATTTACACTTGAAGCTGATCGTTTACGATGTTGTTGTTGACGCATTGCAGCTGTATTAGTTGTCGGTACTCTATGATCCGTTTGCATTGTAAATCATAAAATATTTTAATTTAAAGAAAATTTGTTTGTATTGAATATTCAACTAAAATTTAAAAATAAAACAAATAATTTTAAATGATGATTAAATCGTAAGTGCTTACTTATGTATGCGTACTCACATCAGCTCAACAAAATCTAACGCAATTTGCCTTCAGTGTGTTGTGAAAGGAAAGAAAAAAAAAACGGAATAAGCGCACAAAGGGTTGTGTGGGGTGATTGATGAGAGAAAAAGAAAAATATAGAATGAGAGGATAAGAGAAAGAGAAAAAGAGAAAATAGAGATGCAACCAAATTGAGATACATGCACGTGTCAAAAACACGGGCTAATACTCTACAAAATTCATATTTAATCAAAAGAAAATTTATAAAATAAAAAAAAAACTTAGGTTATTTACAGGTACTTTCTATAGACAATACTATAAAAGATTGTAAAAATGTCCTTGATCCTTGACTTTTTTCGTATTTTACTTTTTATAAATATTATGTTTTCGTTTCAAATTCAGCGTCAATATTTAGATTAATACGTTCTTTTCCACTCTTTACGGCAATGAATGTTGACAGAGTACAAATGAATCAATATATTGGCGGTGAATGTGGAACAGAAAAGTAATATTTGCGAAGAATAAAATTCGAAAGAAGTTAAAGGCGGACAATGATTTTATGATTTTTCATATCACAGGTATATATAGATCTAAACTAACACAAAATAAGACACAACAACATATAACTATCATTGATAGAAAGATAAATATCAAAGGGCATTATTGGTGAACACATTTTATTTTTAGACTTAATAATACACAAGAGATTAAATGTCTATATATGTTAGATTCTTATTTATAAATTAGCAAAATTATAAAATAGTTCTTGTTGGAGTATGAAATATCTAGAATTATAGTATACTCTATTTTCTCTTTTCTTTTTCTTATATAAAAAACACAAGTTCAGAAAGGAAAAAAAGCACTGTGAATTCCGAACTCTTAACAGGGCACATAAATTAATCAAAAATACTAGTATTATTTTCAATGACCTTTCTTTTTTTCTTTTCAGTTGATAAGACTCTATATATATATATATATAACAAGATTCTAATCTGAGCTAATCCTTTTTTTTAAATCAGAAGCAAAGATAATCATAAGAAATATCAAATCGATGAAGATTTTCATAAAATAATATTTTTCTTTTCAATGGAATAGAAAGTCAATAAGTTAGAAGACTCAATGAAACAACAACATCTGCATTGTCTCATCTAAAAATAACATTTAATTTAAAAAAACAAAAGAATTCTTTCAGAGATAATTTCTTCAAATTATCATCCGTCTGGTTAATATCGTCAATGATTAGCCTATTATAATATATTAAATAAGAATAGAATTCAAGAATATATTGTTTAAATTCACTTTTATTAAGACAATTCATGTTCTAAGAATTAAAAAAAAATCTGATATTTATTGTTAATCGAGTTTAATGTTCACGGAAACTGATTTAACAAAACTTATTGATTTAATATAAATGTATCACTCAAAAAAAGAATGAGATTCTTTTTTTTCTTATATAAACAGAAAGAAAACAACAATAAAAAATAAATACATATAAATATATATATATATATATACGTATATACACAAAACTCTGATAGTGTCTGTTTTTCTAAAGAATTAACATAACTGATTTCATCAATGGCGAAAGTTGATCAACAACAGACTCAGTTTTAACGTAATGATGCCGTGTCTTATATGCTTGTAAATGTACATCCAATGATGCCACTGTAAGTTTTAACCAAATTTGTATTGCCTTAGAAAATCCAAATTTTTTTTCACAATATTTCCATAATAAATCAATAAATATATTTTGTATCTTATATATTGTTAAAATATCTTGTGCTATTGGTTCTACTTCATCTGTATATGTGCATATTGATGAACCTTTGGAAAATAACATAATAATTAATAATGCTTCTAATAAAAATCGATCATTTAAGGAAGCAGTGACTAAATTTTGCATACAGTGTGTTGATCGTTCATATTGATGTAAACTAAAACATTGAATTAAGTCACTACCTGCAAAAATACAATCATCTGTATTAGGTTCATGATAACTATCGGTTAATGTATCATAGTTTAATGCTGCACGAATAAATACTAGTGGAAACGTATTATATTTAATTAAAATTAATTTATCATGTTCATTTAAAGATGAAAATTCAGGCAAAAGTTTAAAATAAGTTATAAGTCGAGTTGCTTGAATGTTTGTTGGAAAATTAATCATATCTGATGTTTGAGTTATTTGTACTGCTTGTGGATATGATGGAATTTCAGGTGGTAATGATATTAAACGGACAGAATCAGTATATGCTTGTTGAATTTGTTGAATTTTAATTAAATCTTCCGATGATAATAATGATGTTGCTGGTTTTATAAATGATGCTGTAATAATATCATTATTACGATCTTCATCATCATCATCATCATCATCATCATATGGTTCATCTTTTGGTTTTATAATTTGTCCCTATATACAAAAAAAAAACAAATTAATCATGCAAGTAAATATATTTATTTTATCAAACTTCATCTGTCTCTGATGAATCCGGATAAAGCATTTGACGAAGACGACGATTTTCTTCGATTTTTTTTCGTTTGTTTACACGTTCTTCATCAGTTAATATCCAATCAGCTCTCATACCTAAATAGAAAACATGCAAAAAAATTTATTTAAAATAAAATGAAAAAAAAAGCAAAAATAAACAATAGACCTTGCTCTAAACATTTTGCTAATCGACAGGCTTTACATCGTTTTCTTGTTGAAACTGTTATTATACATCGACCATTATTCATTCGACATTTGAATTCTCCCTAAAAAAAAAACAAAAATACATAAATAAATATTCAAGAATATTTTTTGTTAGAAAAAATTTCTTGTTTTTTTTTTCATACGTTAGCTTTTAATGCATTTCGTCGAAAAAATGCTTTACAAGATTCACATGTGATGACATCAAAATTATAACCGTGTGCTGGTCCGTCACAAATACTACAGGATAAAGTATCAGCTTTTTTACGAGCATAAGCCATTCGTTGTTGTTGTAATTCATTATTATTGTTATTAAAGACAGAATAAGAATAATTTTTTATGTCACTACTTGTATTTGGATTAAGAGTATACGAACGATGTAAGATCCGTTTCCGATGGCGTATACAATATTCAGCCATAATGTATTTTAATAACTGTGATTTTGAACGATGGTTTGTACAAACACTCGTCTATCTATAAATCGACGGAGGTGAATGAAAGCTGCAATAGAATAGAAAAATAGAACAAAAAAAAAAGCGTCGAGTCAATAGACTCGAATGTCTCACTCGACAATAAAGAATACGAAGAAAAAATTCTCAAAAGAAAAAAAAAACGAAGAAAGAGAATAGGGTAACGGAGTTAGCATGTAATTTTGCTGGGTACTCTATGAAGGTCAAATTCAACAATGGACTTTTTTCAGTCGTACTATTTGTTTATCAATGATTCAAAAATAAAGAAATATAGAAGACAAATCTATGTGTATAAGATTGTTCATAAAAAAATGAATAAAGGTTTTTCAAAGATCCTTATCTTTTGGTTAATTTTATAATTAAAAAAAGACGTCGAATACTTATAGATAAACTTGTTGAACCGATATTTTTTTCCATGATTTTTTCAAAATTATGTGAGGAAAGAAATAATAATAATAACCTACATTGTCACGGGGTAGCCAGAAAAAAAAGGAAGAAAAAGAAAAAAAAAAGACAGCAAAATAAGAAATGAGATATAGGACAGAACGGATGAATGTTCTTATTAAACTTTTTAGTATGCGCATAAACCTCATGTCCAAGGTTCGCTTAATGCCGTAGAATAGACGAGAGAGAAAAAAAAAGTATATATATATATATATATAAAAAACAACAAACCTTTAATAATATCAAGAAAGAGAACGATTGCTAAACGAAGAAAAAAAAAAAACTAACCAACCAATCATGTCATTTTTCTCGAACGTATTTTTGAAATATGTATTTATTTACCATGCGCCTATAATTTTTTTCAAAACCACGGTATGAATATTGCGTAATTACAGCAAAGTTAATTATGTAACGAAATAAAATTCTTTTTTTTAAATATTGGAATATATAGTGCAATAAGTTTTTCATCAACAATTCAATTATTTCAACTGTCTAAACAACATATTATAGATAGAAATGCATGATTTCCTATATTGCATTATGTTTTGAATGTTTTCAATTGCTTATTTTTTGCGTCTTTTCTTTCCTTTCATTTGCCAGATGTCAAAAGAATATTGATCTTCACAATAAGTAATTTCATCAGCATTTTGCATTCATCTATTACATAGCAAACACTAGAAAAAAAACTAATAATAAAAAAATTTCTTGTTTTTGTTGCACATTTATATTAATTATGATTCAATTGAAAAATCTTATTCTCAAAATACTGAAATCAATAATTATTCTACTTTGGTAACCCATTGATACAAGATACATAAATATTCATTGCTGTTCACTCACCTATTTACCATACATATATAGAAATCAAATGATTATTTGTCTGCATTATAATAATGATGAGAAACCAAGAATTTTATAATGTTGACTCATACAAAAATTATTTTGTTATGAATAGTGTATCGACGATAAGAATGCAAAAAAACATTGAAGCACGGGTACATTCACCTTTTATATGATGACAGTGCTTTCTAACGGAACTGCTAAATGCAAAAGTAACCTTTACAGAAGAAACAAAAGGAAAACAAAAGTATTTAATAATATTGTCCATAACTACTAATGTGCGAGCATTTATAGAAGAAAAGTACGATAGGTTTATATTTATTTTATTGTTTCAAAAAAAAAAAAATATATATATATATACATATGAATACAGTTTTATACGGATGAATTTGAGTCTGTTAACTGTAAAACACTTTGCATCAATGGCGATAATTGTGATGCATCAATATGATTATGTACAAAATCTTTTAAATGAACAGCTAAACGTTGAATAACAAATATTTCATTAAGAGAACGTGTAAATAAAGTAACGGTTTTCACCAAACCATAATGATGTAAACAATATTTATAAAGTGATTCAAGATAAAGATTTTGTGTATCAAATACAATTAAATGATTTCTTAATGATGGTTCATGAATTATATCATAACCACAAAAACCTTTTGTAAATAGAATAAGTAATAAAAATACTTTAACAATAACACGATCGTATTGAAATATTGTAATTAATTTCGTTGTTACATTTGTTAATTGATGATAAAATTCTTCACCAAGTATTTCAATCCAATCTTTGCCTTGAAATATAGGATCTTCTGTATTATGTTCATGATAAGTATCAGCAAGTGGATTATATAATAGAACAGCATGCATAAAAACAACTGCTAATAAATTATGTTTAACAAGTGTAACACGATCTTCTGAATCAAATAAATCAAATTCAGGAATTTTTTTCATAAAAGTTATAAGACGTATCGATGCTAAATAAGTTGGAATTCGAATAAGTTCAAGTGGTGAATGTATTGGTTGAGTTGCTGGATATAATGGAACGCCAATGACTTTATTTAATGCTGTTGCTTGATTGTATGCATGTTGAACTTGATGAATTCTTGCCCAATCTAATTCGGTCATTAGTGGAATATCATCAGGTATTGATAGATCAATTTTATCTACAACTGAATCATTTTCAAGAGTTTTCCACTAGAAATAAATAAATTAAAATTTATAAAATAAATAATTTATCAGTCAATTCGAATCACACTTACATATTTTATACAGCGTCGACGACGTCCTGGAACGTTTACATGTGGTTGTCTTTGACGACGATTTTGTTCAACTTTATTCTTTTTTTTTTGTTTACTAAATATAAATTCATTCATTGATTCAATCTTAAATTTCTACAATTATTAGTATTCAAAAGATTTTAAGTTATATAATCTCTAAAATAAATTAATATCCTTTTGTGAATAGATTGGGATGAAAACAATAAATAGATTAGTAACTATGCTAATATCGAAATTAAATTGTATCGAAATTCTATTTTTGGAAAAACAAAAATATGTTCATATTTTTGTCGATAAACAAAAGAAAGACTTTAGTTTATAATCAGAAAAAATTGATAATTATTTTTAAAATATTTATGTTCTCATATCCTCAGAAAAATTTCATGTATTGAGCATCTATTCTACTAATCAATGCCTATAATTTATAAAGTTTCTTTATTAAATGAAATGTAGAAAAAAAAAGAAAAAGAAAACAAAATACTCGTGTTCGGTAAGAATCCATTCTTTGCGCATTCCTAAATACAAAAATATATATTAAAACATATGTATACATATTACAAAACAAACGAATAAATTAAGTTACCCATTCTAAAGCATTTATCTAATCGACATTTTTTGCATCGTTTTCTTTTTTCAACATTTACTTCACAATGACCATTACCACGACATTTAAGGTCGCCCTAGAAAGAATTATTTAAAAAAATATATTAAAACCTTTTATAATGGACATGTCACGGTCCGATGAAGTAATTTTTACTGAACATGAACGTCTCTACAGTAGACATTCTCGTGTAGTTCTATGGTGAATACTTTTAAAAAGTCTCAATGATGTCCACGACAGGAAGATTTTACTATATTTTAATAATTATTAATTTTTCAAGAACAAAAAATGCATGAAAAGACAAGTAACAATGAGTAATAGTAAATTTTTTTTTTATTCACTAACATCTTTCCAACATCTGGGAAAACATATCTGTTCCTTGTATAAAACTGCTTTTAGAAAAGACCAAGCTTTCTTATAGTGAACACATTTGAAACTTCTGCAAGGTGTTCACTATAGAGAGGTTATACTATATTCTAAATAAGAATGATTTAATTATCTACATTAGATACTTTAAATGTTATATGAAATATCTGTCGAACGAGTAACAAGAAAATATATGAATTCGATTTTGTTTTCTAAGTGAATATAATATAATGATGTTGTAAATGTATATCCTATCATTATGAGTTTTATATTAACTCAAGTTTGTATGAAATGAAAAAAATTTACTTTCATGAGAACGAACTATTTACAGTTCTCAGTCAATTTTAAAACGAAATGTAATAGTTTTTACATTTTAAAAGTATATTTATACATTCTCTTAAATAAGGAAAAATTTATATGTTTACTTTTTGTTTTCATTGTTGGATATAAACAATAGAAAACATTACTTAGAGTAGTTTAGTATGTAATGTCTGACACTGTGAGTTTATATGTCGGCATATGTTACAATGACATAAAATATCTACACCGTATTTTAAATAAATCAGTTAGAATTTTTGTTTCGTGGTAGAAGAAATTAGCAAGTTTTTATACATAAGATACAGTTGTATGACTGATGAAAACTATCATTTTCAACTTTAATACCAGGAAGTATTCTTCATCGATTTTTTTAAAATTAATTATAATATTTTTTTGTTGGAATAGCTGCATTTTTCTTTCTTTTATTATGAACTGTGATTTATCCAGAACAGAGCAACGAATGTAATTGGATAATCCTATTCGAACTTATATGACGAATTTGTTTTTGAAATATCCTATGAAATGAGACGACCTTCACTACCGATGTGATTTCATCTTGTTTTTTTTTCTTCATGAAAAAATATAGAGTCTGTCTGATGAATCATTGAGCCAATATCCTTCATAAATATGGTGATTAATAGGATTTATTAAACTCTACTTGTTGGCCTCTTTCATCAATAGAAATATTTTCGTTTCTTACTTTCTTATTGTATTTTTTTTACGTATAAGTTTTTTGTAATAGTTTTATGAAAGTTTAAAAAATGAAAACAAATACTAATTTTATGGAGTGCTTTGTGTTTTAAGCTCGTTTAAATTTTTTAATACTCTTCTGTCATAACTGCTGAGTGTTTGGGCAAAATGTCATACTCTTCAGAACTTTTTACGATCTCTACTTCAGATTAATTTTCAATATTAATTTTTATAAGTTTTTATTTAGAGAAAAGTAATTGGCAGATATAAAATTCTGATGAATTTTAATGAACTTTAACTATTACAGAATGTACGAAAGTACACAAAGATCTGAAGAAATCTACTGAATTGTACCAGAGTATGAAAGGATCTTCAATGACTTTTAGCAACCTGGATCAACTAAGTAAACTCATCAAAGTTTAAAAATTCATGAATGCACAATGCACTAAAGAAGTAGTATTATTACTTCTCAATACTTACCAAGGAATGTATTCGACTGACCAATCGTTTTCTCACAGAAAGCTAGTGGATTATAGGTTACCGACCATTCTGGTTCCGAATATAGCCATAAGAAATTCTCTTAGATTTTCATATGCATGAATTAGAATGATTGTATTTTCTGCAAAAAATAAAACCAATTTGAAACAAAAAAAGTTACTGTGTTCTAGGTGATTCAATGTGCTTTATAAGCTGAACAGATCAAGAAAAAAATTTTTGGCACAAAATTTATTAGCCTGAAAAATTAGTTTTTATAAAAAGCCAGCACATAAAGATCTAAGGGATTTCTTATGATCATATTCTGAATCAGCATGACCGACAACTCGTAATCTACTAACCTTCGGTGAGAAAGCAACTGATCAGTTGAAAACATTCCTTCATTAGTGAATCTTGCAAATCTAAGTGAACTATGTCTATTATAAATAGGGTTCGTAGCCATGGCTTGCTTCTGAAGAGATCAAATACTTTTAGGGAATTGTGGTCGTAGGATCCTACATTTACTGCAAGATAATGCTTCCGAATTTTGAATTGAAACTTTATCCACGTAAAGACGTTAATTGGACTAGTTTGTATCAAAAGTTTCAAAATTTTTTGGACTAAGTCTTTCTAAAATAGGGAACTTTTAAGGTACAAACTCTTTTTTTGCATAGATAATACATACTACATGTATTTTTTGACAGCTTCATATCTCGAAAAGACCTAATCCAAAAATTCGGAATACATTTATGCAAGCTAGTTTAGTTAAGATCTTTGTGTGAATAAAGTTTCAGGTCAAATTTCGAAAGCATGATCTTGCTGCAAATGTAGGCTTCTATAGTCACAATTCAGTAAAAACGTCCGATCTCCTCAGAAGCAAGCCATGGTCACGAACTCTTTTCATGACAAACATTATTCACTAAAGTCTACAAGGCGCATTCAGTCTCGGCTTGAAAGCGAACGGGTGCTAGGAAGTTATTCCTCGTTAGCGACTCGTATAAAATTTAAAATGTGCAATTACTAACCTAAAACGGAAGTAGATAGAGAATAGCTGAAATGATACAATAAGTAAGTGATGGAAGTCGATTCAACACTTGAGAAAATCTTTTTATTGAACGAGTTGTTTCGTAGGATCCATAAGATAGGATGGAGAAAATTTTTTGTCGCATCTCATCCCATTCGAAGCTATAGGTCAGATTTTCTAATATTCGTTTAAAAATATTTGTTTCATTTTTTTCCAAAAAGAAATAAAAATTTTAATAGTCAGTATATTGGGAAAGACGAGACCAATTCATAATCCTTATAATAGATCATACAGAAACAGATGTTTATAAAGAAATAGTGGAAAATCTGAATTTTTTGCAAAACTCAGAATAATACAATATCAAAAACATTGTATTTTACTTTTTGTAATTGAAGAAAACTTTCATCTTCGTATTGAAAACGAAACTGATACTTCTCAACATTACTCTAAATATTATTTTATGATGAACTACTTGAAAAATTCTTCTTCCATCAAAACATAAAATCAACTCATCAAAATACAGAGGAAATATATAGATTTCTTTTTCAATAGATGACATATAGTACATGAACACTATTGATGGATAACTTTTGAGAAATTAATACAATAAAAACAAATTGGAAGAAAATAAATGTACAAGATATTCGTATCTGAAAATGTTAAAAACAAGATTGAGTCAATACTAAAATGATTCGCTGACTTCCTATATTTCAACAATGCGTTAGAATCTTAAAGTTTATTTTATTATTATTCGAAGACATACTATATGGATTTTGATGCGTGGGCTACAGCGACTCTTAAAGCAGCTCAAAACTTATATTGCCAACAGCGTTGACTCATTAAATATCTGTCCTACTCTTCGGTGAGAGATGACTTTTTTTTATAAATTTGTCCAGTATCCCAATAGAAACAACTACGATTTTAACGAACCTGTTCTCAGAGATACAATGGTTTATATGGCTAGTATGATGATCGTATATTTCCATGTTATATTCGAAGAAATTCGATCATTTACTACAACAAAAAGTGCTGGTTCATTGTTTTCATATATATAGGGTGCATATAATATTAGTCTTGCTTCATATTTCATTATAGATGATTCTCTTGGTTCAAATTTGGTCACAGAGACATACAATAGTAATACTGAAGTATATGAATTCTGAAAATACAGTTGTGTACAATACAAGACGATTGTTTATGAATGTACACAAACTCTGTATTCTTCATGAGAGAACATCTCAGAACAGATTTCTTCGTCGTGCCTTACATTCTGCAGGACATTATCATTCAGTCATCTCGTTTTGCTAGATGCAGGACAGAACATCAAAAAGTTCGTCCTAGTAGGACGAACTTTTCATGCTATCCATAAGGTGAATAAAGCAATAATAAAACAAACATAAAGATACAAGATTCAATACGTCATCAATATAAAGAGATGGACAGCGAGAAAGGATAAGTTTTCTGTTTATTGCTTTGTCTTGAATTTCTCGTATGAACGAATAAATAATATGTTATCAATCTGACTTGGTGATAAACGCGTTCGTCTTTTAATAAATATCAATACAGCTGAGCTAAATAATCTTTTCACAGAAGCATCAGTTGCTGATATGGCATCTACTCTTCTGACTACTATTGATAATAATTGAACATCGCAACGAGTTTTACTACTAGACCAGAACTTCATTGGATTACGATTAATTAGATGACTTGGGTGTTCTGCAGTTCCTGCATCCTAATAAAAGATTGTCCTGCTCGTGCATGTACAGGACAAAATAGGTTATCTTCAGAACATGCATCCTGTGATGTTCTCTGTTCCTCATCCTAGATATATGTCACAATCATTATTTCATTTCATGACATCAAATAAAGTTAAATAAAATACATATAGAATTTTTAAGATATAAAACAACTAATAACAATTATTCATAATTATAGATTTAGTTAAGATGACATAAAGTAATTTCTAGCATCAGAAACTATTAGAAATCATTAAAAAATTACTGATAATAAGATTAAAATTGAAGTTCTAATTTTTTGTTGATTTCTAATAATTTTTATAGATGTCCCTAATTGTTGATGTTTTTTCAATATTCTTCATATTTAATTTTGGTTTTAATGATTTCTTGTAGTTTTTCTTAATTACTAAAGGTTTTCATTGATTTACAATCAATAAAGAAGAAACGAATTTTTTTTCTACTAACAATCACTAGAAATTAGTTGGTTCGATCATGAATTTAATTTTGTTTTTACAAAAGAACAATATCGTTATGAGACAAGAAAAATCATAAAATCTTATAGTGAAAAATTTTACTATTGTCCTTCGACAAGACAGTGTGACATCATAACTCTTGGATTTCTGATGGTTTAAGTTGAAACTCATAATATTTGAGTAAATGTTTTAGAAAGATAATGAGTGATTAATATTCGGTAACGAAATGTAACTTTAGCTTGTTCTAAAAATAACCAATGATTATAATGTCAAACCTTTTAACCTACTAACCTAATTAACAAAGTAAAGTCTTAATTATTCATTGTCACAGCAATACTGACTCAACGTAATTTTGTTTTATTAAATAAGATTTAAATTTCTACTCTGTCAAAAATACTGACAATACAGGATAAGAAAAGTAAATCTCATCAACCGATTGCATTTCCTCATTAAAAGAAATAATTTTTGATTTATAGAATATTTTTTATTTTGATCTAATAAATTCTGTCGTAGAAATAACTGTGAACTATAACATGAAATGACACTTGTTATTAGACATTTAATTTCTTTCTTGATTGAAATCAATTTTTTTCAAATGTATTGACATTGCTAGAGATACATAATTGGATAGATCATGTTATTAACATTCAAGTATAATAGTGAACAAAAATCTCCACTATGGGGGATCTCAACTATTATAAATATTGAAGGTCTAGAAATATGTATGCCGGTACTCATCAAGAATGTAGATCAGAGATACAATTCTGCTTCGCTTGCTTAAATAGAAGAGAGAATCATGATAGATGACAATAGATAACATCTACTTCGTCTTTAAACTTCATAACCCCGGAAAAGATGAGTTTTCTATGTCAATTAACGGTTCATTATATAATATCATATTCTAGGTATTCACACATCAACTAGTTTCATTGAAATTCATCAACCCTCTCTAATACTGTTACCATTTTACTATGACTGTTGATGTAAAGAAAAATCATCAAGTGTCCTTTTGATACGAGAATGTAGTAGTAATTTAATAAATCAAGCTGAACCTTTTAGAAAAGCTATCTCTATTGTTGGATATTAGTATCTACAAGTTTTATATAAAAACTATATACTGATGGAAAATGCCATAGCTATGACGTTCATATTGATGAGATAGTGGATTCAGAAACGTCAATATTCAAGCAAATGAACTCATCTTTTGGACAAAGAATGATCATAGATTGAACTATAGTTCCACTTTAAAAAATCAAGAATTAATCGTATATTTGATGATAAAGTAGTGCAAAATTGAGTAGGCCATTCTTTTCCGGTTAAAAAAAATTTAATGCAAAAAAGAAAAGAAGATGTCATCTATCATAATCCTCTTTGTTTTTAAGCCATCGAAGCCGAGTTCTATTTCTTATCTACACTTTTGAGGAGCTACGGGCACAAAAATTTTCAAGCCTTCAGTATCTATAAATAATGGTAGACAAAAAATTTTTCATACAGGTTTTTTTTTCTATTATTTAATGTAATAAATCTCAATTAATCTTAAGAACTTCTATGAATTAGTGATACAATAAAAAAAAGTACGACTTTAGAAATATAAGATAATAACAGAATTCGATCTTCTCGATTTTTCTAGCATGTATTTTGAATAATCGTATAAACAGATGAAAAAATCTACTACCTTCTATTCTATTTTTTACTAGATAAAATTTTATAAAAATAATTGCTTTTGTTTTTTTTCCTTCTTTTGAAATGATTATGATTTCATCTATTCTCAAATTTCTATAAATTTATAACTACAAAAGAAAATTTTACCGGTGGTCGTAATGCATTGCGACGAAAAAATGCTTTACATGATTCACAAGAAATGGCATCAAAATTGTATCCTAATATAAATTAAAATAAATATTATGAAAATAAAAACAAAAAAAACAAATCTATTCATTGTACCAAATGCATGATCACCACAAACAACACAATTTAGGGTAGGTTTTGGACGTTTAATTGTTGGTTTAATAGGACTGTTACCAATTTCATATAAAGGATCACCATTCAAAGAAGAATCTTTTAAAAAATTATCATCAAGAAAAATATCTGAGATATCATTTTCAGAATCTATCGCCATGTTTAGTTTTTATTTTTGATTAATCAATAAACATTTTTGTAAATTCTTAATAATTGTAAGAATATTTCTTCAATATAAAAAGAAAGCGGAAAATAATTTAGAATATTTTTAGAAAAAAAAGAACTAGAATCTTGCTAGAAAGAATGCTTCCAGCGTTTTTGAAAAAAAAAGAATGATGTAGCTACGTATCTTCCATGTAAAGAGTACACGATATGGAGTAGAAAACAAAAAAAAAAAATACGCTAAATGGAGGAAGCAAAAATATTAGGCTTTCAATGGTGTCGCGACAGCCACTCACATGCATTCAAAGTGAATCAGCGTTACGAAAAATAAAATTTCTTTTGCTTTCTCTTTCTAACGTGTTTAATACGTCATTCTATTGTCCTTTTTTTTGTTGATTTTACTGACTTTATGTTTCATTTCTGTCCTACTTTGTAAAAATATTCTTGAATTTATTTTTAGATCATCTCAAAAGCATTTCATTAAAATTCTAATATGAAAACAAAAAAAACCCAAGAATAACGTTGTTAACTAAATCTATCTCATATTTCTAAAACAAAAAGGCATTCCTTCTCTTCAAGGTTCAAAGCATCAACCTGATGAATAAACATATATGACATTATACTTTAATATTCTACATTCTATTTTTAGCTCTATCTCATTAATTATTCAAGCATAAAACATATAAAAAATTTTGTCTTCTTCCAAATAATTAGTAGTACAAATATTATGCATAAATTTTCATTGAATAATCTATATAATTTTTTATGAAAATATAAGTAGCATATAATTATTTTATTAATAAAATGATTTGTCAAAAAAAAAAATTCTTTTTATTATTCAAAATTCTTGAATATCATAATATGTTAAAACTTCTGCGTAAATGTATGACTAATCCAATTGTTATCATTAAAATACATGCTTCAAGAAACAACTAGCGCAATAGTCACAGTTGTGGAAAATTATAGAAAAAAAGATGTATATGCAAAGTAATAAATGAAGATGGGTTCATCAATGGAACACAGCATAGAGTAATTTCGTTCTAAAAAATTTTTTTTTTCCCATTGACAGATACAATAATTATTTCTGATGTCATTTTCTTTTCTGTATTGGAAGAGTCTATTTCCACCCCATAATTCTTCATTACCACTTTGAAAATGTTTTCACCTAAAAATAACAGGTGATTCAGAATAATTGACCGTACTTTGCGTTTCATTTGTTTCTACCTCTAAACACGTTGTATTAAAAAAACAAAAAACATACTACGAGATACAGCATGAAAAACTCTACAATTTAGATACGACCGCTTATTTTATAGTTGCAACTTTTTTTTTTCAAAATAAGCAAAATTCTATATGACCAATTTTCGCACGGTCGAAATTTGGTTTCTCAAAATTTTACTCATTTGGAAAACAAAAAGTGCAACTATAAAATAAGCGATCTTATGTAGATTGTAGAGCTTTTCATGCTGCATCTTGTGGTATATTTTGTTTTTTTTAATAAAACGTATTAGATGATGAAAAAATAAAATACAAAACGCGGCTATATTTATTCTGGATCACCTGTTACTTTAATGTCATTCCTATTTTTCTTCTTGTATTATATAGAATTCTTGAAAAACATATTTTTCCCAGAAAAATTCCATATATTTTTGTCCATGATGTTTTTCAGATGGTTGATTAATTTCGTAAAAGTTTCTATCTAAGAGAAAAATTGAACAATAAGTTGTATGTAACTTTATCATATATTAATCATAACAAGAATTCAAAATGGAACCAAATATTTTTGCATACAAGGTAAGGAAAAAATAATTCGTTAATATCATAATTTAATACAAAAGATTCTTATGATCGTTTGAGAATATAAGATTTTTATTTCAATAATTAAAAGCTATAGAGATCAGTCGTAAAACTTTTTCTTGTATTAGTAAAGTTGATGAGAATATTCATTAACTTAGCAAAGTTTTTTGTGTCACAAAACGAAAGTATAATAATATAACGGGTGATACAGATTGAACAGAACAAATATCATTTCACTCTTTTCGTTTTGGATCTCTCAGATTTACTTTCAACAAGTCATTCGATAGAGAATTGTTCGCTCTACAAAACTGTTATATTTATTTTGCAAGAAAAGTTTTTCTTGTTGGAGCAAAATTTAAAAAAATTAACACTTGTTCAATCGTCCAACTATGACAGCCAAATAAATATGGAAAAACGATGCAAATTTTTTTAAATAACAGATTTCTGAAATATCAAATATACCACAAAATTATTCTGCATCTTTTGTTTCAAAATTTCAGAAGAAATATTTACGAGAAAAATCATGAAATAAAAACTGAAAAAAAATGCCTTGTCCTAACAAAATTATATGATTGTTCTTTTTTGTATTTCGATACAACCTAATCGTTTGTAATCTTCAACTTAGAAGTCACAACATTTTGTTCATAATTAAATTCTAAATCTGACAACGCGAGAACGATTATTTCATACACTAAGTCTCGCTCTGAAAATCATGTTTTATTTTTGCAATATGCGTAGAAAAAATATCAGTAGATTTTAGTTTCAAGCTTGTTTCTCATGAACAGTAGCATCAGAAATCTTGAAAAAGTCGTAGAAGTGAAAAGCATAAAATTTTCTATTCATTAATGCTAACTGCGTTGTTTTTTTTGTAATAAAGACTTACACAAATTGATAGACGTCTGTAGAAAATCGACAATCACAGCTAGATGATTGAGCAGACATTAATATTTTAAATCTTCCTTCAACAAAAACAAAATCTATTTGAAAAACAAACAAGACAGTTTTCTAGAGCGAAAAATTCTCTATTGAATAACTTTCTGAAAATCTATTAGAATGATCCAAAAAAAAAAAGAAAATGATGTTGTTTCATTTAATCTGTACCACCCGTTATAAATGTTCAATTGTATCATTGGAATTAAACTTTTTAAATGATTCCTTTGATCGTTTTGAGAGATCGTTAGAATTAAGAGTATCAACACTGTTTCAATACAAAAGAACTGCGTAATTTTTCTTCATTAAAGCAAATGAAAATTTATTATGTTCTTTAGACGAGTTATTTTGGGATCAAAAAAAGAAGCGCGTGTTTGAATACAAAGCAATTTTTAATAAAACTTGATTAAAGAAAAATACATTTTTACTTAGTATTTTATTTAAATACTAAAAGAAAAAGTCACATGGTCTATGCAAAATATTGTGAATCAATTGGTACATATAGAAATTTTCTTAAGAAAAAAAAAATAAACATATAAGAAATTTAATTATACAACTATTGTATTAATGAAGCCTTTGTTGTTTTTTTTTGCTGGTTGTCTTCGTTTACTTTTCTTACTCAATGGTATATCCTTTACTGACCGATGTTCTTGAATAAGGTCATGAAGAGTGGTGATGGATAGAATCCGTCACACGTAGTATTAAATTATTGTATCCTTTATGCCACAAATCACGAGTATTCAACCAATATTGTCCAAAATATTTACTTATCGAATGTGTTTTATTTCTATAATTTCAATTTATTAGTTTAATGAAAAAATGTGTTTAACTGTATATTAATTATCAAACTAAGCAAAGATTTTTTTTGAGCGAAAAAATTTAAATTAATTGAACATCCAATAAAATGATTTACAAGAGAACGTTTGTAAGTGTCAAATCGTTTTTGAGTTGGAACTAATATGCATCATGTAGACTTTAAAGAGTTATGAATAGTTTGAAAAGAGGTCATACTATTCAGTTATTGGTTTCAAGATGCTGTATTTTTACCGTATTTTTGTAATAGAATGCCATGATCCCTCAGGAACACTAGAAAAGTTGAGTTTCAAACTTTAACTTGAAACTTTGCACAGAGACAAACATTAACGAAAATAAGTTATTGTGAAAGTTTTCGATTTTTCGATTACACTTATTCTGAAACAAGAACATTGGAATTTGCCGTTATATATCAGTGATGTGAAAAATATATTTTTACCATAGTCGTATATTAGGAGAGAAGCAATCAAAAGACCTGAAACTTTTACAATAAATTATTCTTATGAAGACCTGTCTCTATGCAATGTTTCAAGTCGAAATTCGAAACTTAGTTTTTCTGATACTTCTGATGGGGACCATAGTACTCTGTTAAAAAATACAATATCTAGACTGTAATAGGTTGTTAGCCCGAACTCTTTTCAGGGTATTCATAGTTTATTAGAACCTACATGATGCACATGATTCCGACTCAAAATCGATTTGATACTTAGAAACATTCCCATATTAGCAAGCAAATAGCAGCCAAAAACAAAGAGAGAAGATCCTAAATCTATAGCTTAATCTCTCATGTATTTTTAATATTGTAATATGAATCATATGCCAAAATTAATATTATTATATAAATAATTTAAAGTACTATTTTAATTTCATCATAGAAGAAAGATTTTGTCAATCTCAGTTATTGATTAATACCAAAGAAAGCATTTTGATATCTGTTTTCATTTAATATTGAACAATATTTTTGTTAAATTCCTTTGAAATGCATTAATTTCTTTCTTTTCAAATAATACTATCGGTAATAAACATTTTTCTGAACATTTATTAAATTCAATTAGATCTAAGTCAATCAAATCGACCTTCTGAAATGATATCTTAAACTGTCTAAAACAGTGGGGAAGCAGCGTGATCACTATCCTTGACGATGCAAAATGATCTCTGTCTTTCGCCGTTTCTGTCATCTCGGATTCGTGGATCGCCTTTTCATCATATACTGTCGTATTTACATCGTTTTTTTGCCGTATACGATTAAGTTTCATTATTCAAATTGCGACCTAAATAACATCTTACTCATAGTTTCTATTATTATGCGAAGCATTTCATTACACTAATAGTATTCTTGAATATGAATTTATCATCACAAACTAGATCCAAAGTAGTTTTTGTGAAAAAAGAGCGCTCATAGACGCAATAATCATATCTACTGTAAGTGGAAGTACCATGAAAAACATTTTTTTTTAGATAAAGTAGTTCTCTAATAGAGAAGACTATAAACTAGATCAAAAAAGTTAATTAGAGCTTCATATTAACAAAACGAACAAAATATAAGAAAAAAGATTGAGTAAAGTGCATTTCAATCTCAGCAAAATACTTCTATGAAACATTAGAAAATGGTACAATTAGAAATGATAGATAAGATCATTAAGATTTATCTACTAAACATTATTTGATTAGAAATTATATAATAATCAAATGAAATATTCTTCATCTAACTCATGAAATATTTCAAATTATTTCATATACCACTGATACATGAGTTATGAACATTGGCTGACACTTGAGATAAAGATTGAAGAAAAAAAAACCTACCAGAAGAACTATTGAGATTTGTATGAAAAATATTCATGAAAGAAATATATGATTTCTTTTAAATATAATTATAAATTATGTTATTATAGAATGAATATACTGATCAATATTTTTCATTTATCATTTCAAGATTTATTAGAAATCTATATATCATAAGGTGAAATTTTGGTCTCAGTCTTGTTGGTAACCATTTATTCGTATTTTAATTAACATTTATTAATAGACTATTATAACAGTTTTGACAAAGAAAATAAATTACCATGTCAAATACAGCTGTTAGAAATACTGAAAACAAATGCTTTTTTATTTCTCTGACATTTCTTCCTACTAATTAATGTCAATTTTCATCTGATCAATTCCATATAACTAATATTTTATTCTTGAAGCAGGGACGTAGCCAGAGGGCTAGACGCAGTACCTGTCCACTCCATTAGCCAAAGTGATCTCGTCAGACATGATGAATTGGTTCCATCCCATAGCCTTATGATCTTGCGCCCATTTTAAACGATTCTCTCGATGATCTTTCATGAGCCATGGCTTCAACATAGATCGATTGCATTTCGCGCCTGCTTCGTTGACTCGTCATCGCACTGTTTTCTCTCACTGACCATGATTCGCTTCTGCTTCAGTTGGTTTGCAACGGCTCTGCTGGTAACGAACGTCTGTTATTCGACAAGTGAAATCATTTGTTGATCATGTTTTTGGATCGTTGTACGTGATCGACTGGATCGGAGTGAATCGGTCAAGTCTTTTGACTACTTCAATTATTTGAGCCAATATTTCTGCGTTGTCACGTCACAATGAAGTGCTTTCACCATAGTCGCATAACTAAGCTTTGAACCCAACTAATGCTGAGATCAAAATACTCCGGGCATCCAAAAAGTTCTATCACTTTAAAAAATTTCTTCATAGGAAAGATATCCAATCAAACTCTCTACAGTAAATGTTCGAAATAGTCGCCGTGATGCTCGATGCAAAGTTTTATCTTTTCAAGCTATTTTTGAAATGTCTTTTTATATTCACCAACAGGTATCGAATTGAGTTTCTTAGTTATTGCTTTCGTCCAACTTATGACATCTGGATATGAATCAGATCTATCTTAAAGATAGCTGAATAACCAAAAAAGTCTACAAGAGCAAGGTCAAGCAAATATGGTAGATACACCATGACTTTGACTATTTTTTTTCTTGAAGATAATTGATAACAATATCTTTCATATGTGGCCTTGCATTATCATGTTGGAACTTGATATCATTTGTTCTTGATGATAGTCTTTTTTTCAATAACTTTTTAACTAAAGATTTTAAACATTCATCACGATGATAGGTAGCATCAATAGATACTTCAGAAAGAATTTGATGGATAAGTAAGGATCTAGTAATCATAGAGAAAATAACAAACATTGTTTTTTTTCTCAAACAGTTTTCTTTTGACGATGGTTAAAGATCTTACCTCTTCTGCTACCCACGACTTTGATTGTCCTTTTCATTCAAACATGCGATGGCAAATTCAATTCTCATCACTGATGATAATATCACACAATCGCCAAACACTATTTTCAAACTTTTCTAAATTTTTGGCACATATGTTCATACGTTGTTGTAGTTATTCTTATGTAAATTGAGGGCTCACCTATCTTGACGATATTTAGATTAGTTTTTTTTGTTTGTTGTTTTGTGAAACATGTATTTTCATTTCTATTTTTGATATATTTATTTAATAGAAAGGAAGTAGTATATATGAATAAGCAGGCTCTATCTAGAAAGTTGTTTTTTTAAACTGAACGTCCAAGAGGAGGATTAAAAATGCGATTTTTACGTGAACATTCTTTACAGATGATCGCTTTCTGAATCACCATGATGTATTTATCTTCATGATAAATAATTTCAATGTGTCTAAAACTCCTTGAGTATTGCCGAATATTAAATTGTTTTTCTTTCGCATAAAAATATTAATCAATATATTGTACAATTATTTTATTATAGTTATTCATGAAACAAACTTTAACATGTAAATAACACAAATACACAACAATGTTCTTATTTTCTTTTTTTTTCTAAATCCTTTTTTCTTCTCTACTAACATTTAGTAATAAATGTAAGATAAAGTTTTTTTTTTAATTATATACATGTAAAACAGTGTATACTATGTATACTTAAGTACACTACACACGAAAAAAAAGAACTAAAAAGACCTGAAACACAGCTGCTAATAACAAACTTTAACATATTAATGTTCTTTCGCAAATGCCACTGCTAGGATAAGGATGAAAGAAAAATACATAAAGAAAAGAACATTTCTTGTCTTATTTACAAGTCATATAAGACTTTGCATTAATGGTGATAGTTCTCTTATATCAATATAATTATTTATTGTACATTTAACTTCTTCAACTAACTGCACAATTTTCATTAATTTATTAACATATTGTGAAAATAATATAGGCGCTTGATGAGAACCATATCGATGTAAACAATACCTATAAACTAAATCAACAAATACATTTTGTGCTTTGAGTATACTTAATTTATCAACATTTGGTGTTAATAAACATTGAGTTGATTGATTTGATGACATTTGATTTGAAAAAAGTAATATTAAATAAAATAATTTAATAATAATATCATCAGCTTGAAATATATCAATTAAATCATTTCGCATTTGTCTCATTTCAATATGAAATTTTTTATTTAATGTTTTAATCCAATCTTTTCCGGAAAATAATGGATCAATTGTATCTTGTTCATGATAACAATCTGTTCTTGGATCATATATAAATATTGAATGAAGAAAACAAATTGTTAATAAATTTAATTTAACAAGATAAACTTGTTCTTCTTTATCTAATTGTTGAAATTCATTTACTTGTTTAATATATGTTATAAGACGCATTGATGATATATAAAGTGGTACACGAAATAATTCTATTGTTGATTCAATTGGTTGTGTTGATGGATAAAATGATATACCAGCTATTTGATTTAATCGTACAGCTTCAGTAAAACAATCTTGAATAAATTTTATACTAAACCAATCGAAATCATTTAAAATTGACTGATTAAGAAGTGGAGATATATCTAGAGATAAATCATCATCTGTTTTCGACTAAAAAACAAAGCAAATTCAAGAATTTGTTTGTTTTATTTATTTATAAACTTACTTCTCGTTTTTCAAACTGATGTGATTCTTGATCATTATCATTAATTTGTTTAAGACGACGATTTTCTTCAATTTTAGCACGTTTTTCTGCTTTTCTAAATAGATAAATGATTTAGAAAATTGTCAAAGTACATTTCAATGAACTCTTCAAAATATGCTATTATAATTAGAAGTGTACCTTCTCGTCTCATGAAAATCTCATTTGTATGCATGATAATATATTTATTTGTATCTTTATGTCAATTTAGTGTTTTAGATTTTATCCTCATCAAGTATAATTAAACTATATTCTTTTTTTTTACATCCTTTAACTTCTTATATATAGATGTTGGAGTAGAAATTAAAATTCAGTAGAATTTAAAATTCTACTAGTAGAGATTAAAATTTCAATGTCTACTAGAAGAAATCGCAATAACAGGCGATTTTAAGTTGCACTAGTAGAAGTTAAAATTTTGATTTCTACTATAGGAGAATTTTAAATTCTACTAAAAACGTATACTATAGAAGTATGCAAATTTCTTCGAGAATAGAAAATAAAATTAACTCGTACGTAATCACTAGATCATTTGATTTAATGCCATAATCAACCTGTAATTCGCCAATAATAATTAATTTAACGTGTTTATTAATTCAGAATTTAAACTAAGCTTTACTCCAACCATCGTTTATTACCGATATAATGCCATTGTGACCAACTTGTGTGATAAACACTTGAAATGAAATCTTTCGCCTAAAGATTCTATATGTTTATCAAGCTTCAAATAAAATAGTTCTATTTTATATCATATTGAAGTGTTTTTTCTTTTGATACTAACGTGAGAAGTTCAAATTAAATATCCAAAATCGTTTTTTCTTTTCGTTCGACATATTGGATCATTAGAAAAAGTGTTAATTTTATTTTCTATTCTCGAAGAAATTTGCATACTTCTATAGTATACGTTTTTAGTAGAATTTAAAATTCTCCTATAGTAGAAATCAAAATTTTAACTTCTACTAGTGCAACTTAAAATCGCCTGTTATTGCGATTTCTCCTAGTAGAAATTGAAATTTTAATCTCTACTAGTAGAATTTTAAATTCTACTGAATTTTAATTTCTACTCCAACTTAGACAAGTAATTGAAAGATTACACTGCCAAAAATAATCTCTTGTTTATTTAAAAAGATATTTTGTTGTCATCTAAGTTATTATTTTTATAATGATATTATGTTTTACTATAATATAAAATATAGGAAGTTTATATACTTGAATTTAAGATGGTACATTATGCACACATAAAATTCGATCTATTTCGAAATGATTTTATTTGAAAATAAAAATATTCTATAATAAAAGATGGGTGTTGGTAGCCTAATATTAAAAACTTTTAATAGATGTTCTATAAGAAATTCATTGAGTAATTTTTACTATTTTAACAGATATCAAATTATTATATATATTACAGGGACATCTATTGCTTTAAACACACTTTTCAGTCTTATCTTGAGCTACGATAACATAGGTTTTGTACTTATGAGCAGACGTTTTTATTTTTTTAATTTAGTTAAGATACTTCAACATATCATAAGAAAATGTATTGTGAAAATTTTAGTGTAAAAAATTTAAAATAAGACGAACATGATAACTAAAAAATCTTTAAATGAATTTTTTAATTATGAAAAACGGAATACAATGTCATAAGTATATATATTATATAATGGCAGAAATAATGTCATTTGGTAATAGAAACCATTTAGTTTACATGAATTCCACTTTGTACAAATATATTATTAACTTTAAACTATCAGAATCTTTAAAGGCTTCGATAATAATTTACACAGTCTTTTGTTTATCTTTTACATTCAATGATAGGACTTACAACAAAAAAAATTTGACAAACCATTGCTCTATCTTAATACGATATAAATATACCCAGACGATTTCAAAATAGACTCGATACTAATCTTATCAATCACTAATATAAATATGACACTTACTCTTTATCTGAAAGAATCCATTCTTTTCGCATGCCTAAACAAAAAAAACCAACAGTAGATAATACATTAATTTAATTGTATCTAACCTGATGCGAGACATTTTTCAAGACGACATCGTTTACATCGTTTTCTTATATTAAATGTAATATTACAACAACCGGTACCACGACATTTTAATTTATCCTAAATTATTACAAAAAAAATTAGAATAAAATAAATAAATAAACCCTAGAAAAATAGAAATTCTTACCAATGATCGTAATGCATTTCGACGAAAAAATGCTTTACACGATTCACATGATATAGCATCAAAATTATAACCTAAAGAAAACAATTAAAAAATAAAAAATAATTTTAATAAAAGATTATTATCTACCATGTGCATCACCATTACAAACAACACATGTTAAAAGTGCTTTATAACGTTTGCCTGTTGGTCCAGAATATTTCTTGTCAACCCTTTGTGATTTATGAATTGATAATGAACGTTTCCTTGAAAGTTGTCTATTATTTTCAACTTGTAAATTATTCTCATTGTGTTTTACTCGTCTGTTCGACATTTGTATTATTATTATTGTATCTAACAATGTGTAGAAGCTTTTTATATATAAATTTAGCTAATAAAGGCCATAACAGAACGAAAAAAAATATTTTTAACCTACCATATGGCTTTCTCACTACTCTAGGCCGTTTACATTACGTAGAAGAAAAATACGTTGAAGGTTTGAAAGAAACGACGTAAAGAAAAAGAGAGAAAAAAAATGTTTATATGCTCTTTCTTTTAACCTTGATGATTTAACTTTGGTCTGCAATATGCTTACGCATTATATCGCAGTGATAAATGAATTCTAAATATAACAGCTGTGAAAAAATCTAAATATAAATCTGACCATTTTTACTCAGAAAGAAACTCTGACGTGGTCACTGTCGATAAGATTTATTTTAGTTTTAAATAAAAAAAAAGCCATAAACGATAAGAAAAAGCAAACATAAATATATGGGATAGAATGATCAGAATACATCATCGGACAAATTATCTAACTGTACTAAGTGAATAGTTTATTTTACTGACTTATAAACGTATAATTTTTACATAGAAAAGCGATAAATCTATTTGAAAACGATCAATTTAACATTTTATCATAAAGAGAAAAATAACATAGCTTATAGTCATTATTGAGAAAAAAACAGATGTTAAGTCTCTATCCTATTTATCTAATTCATTCTAAGGATAAATTGATCAATAATATTTTTTTATCATTGAGGCAAATCTAGTTCTACTATACCTTACACGCGGTCGTTTAAAAATGAATGCATTAGCGTACATCATATGTAACTATGAAAAACATCAAGAGTAGACTGATGCACTATATGGCCTGTACGTCTTGTTTTTATTCTGCGCCTTTTACATTTATGACGAGAAATGTTCTTCACAGAACAGAAAAAATGTTTGTTCGGCCTATCGTCCTTCTTTCGTCTGGATAGAGTGCAACCGGCTTTCCCTGATAGTGTTTATTTTCTTCAGGATAAAGCAAAATTTATAAGTTACTTAGAGATTCTAAGTTCAATTAATCATACGTAGATTCATTTTTTTGACTATGAAAAAAAAAAAAGAAAAGAAATCTCACATGAAATTATTTTGTAATATTTTTTTCTCAATGTTTAAATGCATCAATTTATATATTCTACATTTCGATAAAATAAAACAAACAAGAGCTAATGATCTTATTACGAAAAATTTTGAAAAATAAAATTCATTCAATTTTATAATACATAAAAAAGCACCCATTTTACTCAGAATAAAAACGAGTCGATAAATATATCAATAAGTTATTTAGAGGCAAAGTCCAACTACATCCTATGGGTATGCAATAGAATCGGTCCCCATCTATCGAGAGTAAGAACAGTAAAAAAAGAAAAAAGAAAAAAACAGAACGCACTGTTTGACTCGTATTGCTTTTCTCGGTTCTCAATCAAACCATTGGTGTAATTACATATATAGATAGATAGATATAATAGAGATCTAGAAAGAAATAATGTAAATTTATACTCGATTAGTCTTTACAAAAATATATTCTCCCGAACAGGGTCATACTATAAGTTTGCACTACTTGAACTTAAGTAAAAAATGTCTACATCATCGAATAGAACAAATATAAATACCAATAATAATATTTTTCAGTATCATTGTACAAATAGAAGTACAATCTTGCAAAGTATATAATCAAAATTTTCCTATGATAATAATTATAGTTATTTGAAAACGATGAAAAAAAGTTTAAAATTACTTAGTTATTAATTTGCGACATAATAATAATTTGTTTTTATTAGAATTCTTTTTTCCGTTGAATTCGTTGCAAATATTATATTATTTTATAATATTTAAATTTTCCTCTAAATGTTTCAAATAATTTATATAGGATACATACATATATAAGATAATGCTGTATTACTATATTTTGTAAATATGTATTGCTATTAACTTCAAGTTACTATAGATAAATTATATTCAAGTGTTCTTTCAACCTATTCAAACAAAGAGTTCTTGCAATAATTATTTTGATTATTTCATTGTTTTTATATCTTTTTGAGAAAGAGAGTTTCTAATAAAGATTTGTTTATATCGAAAAATATGAATACCTTATTATTTAAGAAGGACTAATGTTTCATGATAACATTTTTTATAATAGGTTTTGAATGTTATTTAAGAAGATTTTAACATCAAATTTAATTTTATAAAGCCTTTAATATGAATTTTTCTAACCGAAAATATGTAATGTAATTTTTTTTCTCTACGTAATCCGTTTTGCTTCAGATGCACTTTTATATATGAAAGGGTAAAAGAACAATGGGTTTTTTTTTATCATGACGTCGAAATAGTTCTAGAAATTCATTAAAATTTAATAAGAACATTGCTCTATTTTGACTTTGATTAATGTTTCTTCTGTATAAAAACTGTCAAATCTAAAGAACAAGCTTTATCGACTGTTGCACTCAATTTGTACCTATTAATTGAATACGTTAGTATGTCTAATAAAGACTTCTCTTGAAAATCTTTTTTTTTTTTTAGAATACTAGTTAAAGATATTGTTTCTAAAAATCATTTAAGATTAGACGTGATCAACGACCAACAGTAGAAACTCATATGAATAGTAATTAGAACTTTCTCTTCTATATTTATGAGAAATTGAACTCGTTCTTTTGCTTGTTGGCATTGGCTTTGTAGTAATTAGAATAATAATAAACGTGACTTTTTGAGAGAATAAAAGATTTTGTTAATTTAACTTAGATAGAATCATATAAAAAAATGATTATGCTTGATTGAGTATTTAACATCGTTATTAAAATAGAAAACTTGATGTAAACGAGAAAAAACCTAATTGATTGACATATTCCATATTTTAACAAAAATAATGTATGGAACGTATAAAACGTGAAATTATGAAAAATTAATATTCTCAAGGCGTCAAAAAACCATTTCATCATATTCTATGAGGAATGAATTCTATACGACAAAAATAATTTATAATAAATGTAATAAAAAACAGAGACAAAAATAAAAGAATAGATGATTGATGAACATTCAGACAAAAAACAATCAATACAAAAACCAGATTATTTTCATTAAAGAATGAACAACATTTTAAAATAAACATATATATGAAAGAACAAAAAAGGTCATATAAATATTTTCTAGAAAGTTATATATTAATGAAAATTATTTGTTTGTTATAAAAATTGATTCAATACATTTAAAAAACTTTAATATAAAAAATTTTGAGAATATAGAATATATTTTGAAAGATATAAATACTACAGTTTAAGAAAATAAATCGTGAAATGTTTGAATAAAGAGTTGATTATTAACATCGACTCTTTTCAAATGAAATTATCAATGGTTTATCATCATCTTTAAAAAAAACTCAACTTTTCAGAAAATTTTCTTTCAATAAATTTCAGTTGATATATTACTGGTTGTCTTCAACTTACATGTACGATTTTTTTATTATCATATGACTGGATAATTTGACCATTTTATATGTTGTAAATAGTGATGAATTTAGTAATCTCTGAAATTTTTGGCTTGATCTAATTACTTTTTTTCAATAACATTATTCAAAATACTAATAAAATTTTGAATGAAAATTATTTCCTGATTTTTTTTAATCGTTTCTTGCAAATTTTCTTTGAACAAAAAGAGTTTTGACTTTATGCTCTGACTTTTATTACTACGTACGATATTTCAGACTTCGTCTTTAATTAAATATAAAGTATATTGATATTACAAACAGGATCCTTTTTTTTGTTTTACACTTTTTGATATTTTGTTATGAAAATGTCAATCGAGAACATTTTATGTGGCAATAACAGATGGAATGTCTTGATATTTTCATCAATGATAGAACTCAAAAACTTCTATCGCCTGATGTATTTAACAGTTTTGCACCATACGATAAATCAATTATTTTTTTATCAAAAGTCATCTTTTTCCTATTATTCATAAGATATATTTGAAGATGCTGGTGTATTTTTCATAGACTATACTCTCGCGACTGCTTAAAATAGTTTTGTGTAACTACTTTCTTGTTATAGATGGTATGACAGCATAAAATGACTAAACTAGACCTTCGACATTTTTATTTTTAACAAAAAAAATAATACGATAAGAAAGAGTAGCACTTCCATAGAAAATAGCATAACAAGAACAAGAGTATTTCCAGATTTTAATTAAGAAAGTTGATCTTTATCAAAAATAAACCTTATATTCGCAATCAACATGCAAAACTATATCAGAAAACATATTTTTCATTGTAAAATAATTCTCATGAAAATTTTATCCTGTACTCCCCCCTATGGGTGAAATTTTGATCAAAAATATTTTACGATAAAAGTATGTTCTCTGATACACTTTTGCATGCTAATTGGAAATATGTTTTATTTCTGATAAAAATCAACTTTCTTAATTAAAGTCTGGAAATATTCTTCTTTGTTTTATGCTATTTTCTATGAAAGTGCTACTCGCTCTTAGCATATTATTTTTTTTTTGTTAAAAGTAAAATTGTCGAAGGTCTAGTTTCGTAATTTTCTACTCTCATACCATATACAACAAAAAAGTAGCTACATAAGAATATTTTAATCAGTCAAGAGAATACAATCTATAGAAAATACGCCGACGTCTCCAAATATATCTTATGAATAATAGGAAAAAGATGACTTTTGATAAAAAAATAATTGATTTATCGTATGGTGCAAAACTGTTAAATACATCAGGCGATAGAAGTTTTTGAGTTCTATCATTGATGAAAATATCAAGACATTCCATCTGTTATTGCCACATAAAATGTTCTTGATTGACATTTTCATAACAAAATATCAAAAAGTGTAAAAAAAAAACAAAAGGATCCTGTTTGTGATATCAATATATTTTATATTTAATTAAAGGCATTGTCTGAAATATCGTATGTAGTAGTAGTAAAAGTCACTAATACTTATGATTAGAAGAGTATAATGTCAAAATTTCTTCATTTCGAAATGCAAAAGTCATTTTTTCAAAGAAAATTCTTTATTCACTAGTCTTGGTAAAAGTGATCAGATTGAACTGGAAATTTCATAGATTACTAAACTCATCATCATTTACAACATATTTTAAAAAAATCATGACGTTCTGGAATATTCCTCCATTGTCGATGTCTCAATATCTCAAATACTTACTTTTAAATTACTTTATTGCAAAACAAAGACTTGAGATTAATATTTATTATAGGATTTTTTTGATTTGTGATTATTGATTATAGATTATGATAAGTATATGATTATTATTTGTTACATTAGAGAGTTAGTTTTTCGTTCATAGTTATTTATCATCTTATTTTGTGAAACTCGTATATATTTTCGAAGCAAGTAGTGAGTGTAAGTTTAAATCGATATTTTTGTAGTTCTTTCTTTTCTAGACCCTAGCAATCGGCAAAGCGGAGGTGGAGAATACCAAAGGTCATGGAATACGTTTCTCTATCAATCGAAGACAACAGATGTCAGACTCCTTTTCCTAATTTCCTTAACAACAGGACAAGGCACTGAATAGCATTAACAAAAAAGAAAGACTGTTATAGAAAGTTCTAAAACATTTCAAAAATTTCTCGAAATTTGAATAACTAAAATACATTTGTGAATGTTCTAAAAAAATCCAGTTTTTCTTGTCTTTCGCACAGATAAAAGTTTATGTTTAAGATGTCAAAAATGATGAATAAGGATATGTCAAAGTTATTCTCTAGAACTTCTTAGCTATTTCAAATCTACTATCAAAGTATATCACGAATATAGTAGTTTGAGTTCATTTTATACAAGTCTATCTCGCAATACAGTAAAGTATTTGAGCTTTATTGTTAGACCGACTAATATAAAATGAACTCAAACTAATATACTCGTTACATACGTCGACAGTGCACTTAAAATAGCTAAAAGATTTTAGAAAATAGTTTTGATTTACCCTTACAGTATGGAGTTTTCACATTTTTCGCTCTTGATAGTCATGCATTTATCTGGCACAATCATCTCATGATCAGCATAAGAAATATGAATTGACTGAATTATAACTTCGGGAAAAAAAACATGATATCAGTGTTTGTGAGGTCATCACGATGTATAATAGAATTTTGAGACCTGCTGTGAATATAATCGATACATGGAACAGGCTTATTTATCAGTTAAATCAATGTTTAGAATAATAATGATGTTTAAATTAAGAAAAATGGAATATGATAATGAAAATCAACGAACGAATAGCAATAACCCAAACAAAAAAATTCACTTCGAAATGCAGAAATTCGTTTCTCTGTCAATCGATTATCCTTGGAAAATAGCTATAGTCTGTTAAAGATTTTTCACTTGACATATTTTGTATTAGTATAGTGAGGCTAAAGAAGACATGCGAGTTCCACATTGGAGTTCCAAAAGGACTGTGCTAACAAGTTTTGTTTTTTGTACATTTTCTATCTATACTAAATTTTTGTTCGTGTTTATCATCTTTGCTGATAATGATCGTCCATGATAAAGGTCGAAATTTTCAGATTTATTGTAAAATTAAAAACTTTATATTGCATTTTTCTTTCTTTTATTAAAAAAATCCTAAAAGAAAAGAATTTTATAACTTTAATAGACATTTTCATTATTGATAACAATAAATCTGAGGTTGGAATACATTAATATATCATTTTGTGCACAAGAAAATTTTTGACAAAATAAAGCTTATTTGCATGTACAAATCTAATTTAAAGAAATAAATTTCATAATATAAAAAATATTCAACAAATTGATGAGTTCTGTTTTTTTAAGCTGATAGATGTCACTGACATGTATATATTTTTTTTGTTTCACAGTTTGTTAGTAACATTTTTTAATCTTCAAACTATTTTTCATTACTAAAAACAATCATTGATTTTCTTCTTCACAAAAAAACAACTATTCTTCGTCATTGGGGTTTAATAATAGAATTTCATTGGTTGATCAGAAAAACAAATTAGCACTAAATTAATTGAAGTGATGATGACGGCCGTATGAAAGAAAGTTTTATTGAGTTTTTTTTTTATTCTTTGATTCATTTTTTTTCTCTTCTGTTAAAAGCTATTTGTCTAACGTGTAGGCGTCCGATGGCAACAATCGAATTCCATTGCCAAAAAGAAAAAATGTTCAATTTTCTATATTCATTGTTAATTCACAACTTGGCCTATTTAAATATTTCATTGTGATATTTCATTGATTATAAAAAAAAATAAAATAAATCAAAAATAAATAAAAATGACATTTGATATAAAAACAAAAACAAATTTATTTTAGACCTATTTCTTTCGTCGTCGTTAAGATCAATGGATGATAGTAATAATAATATATTTGATGTGCTCGAATCGGTTTGTGTAAAAAAATTTTTTAAATATCAATCTATTTACGAATATATATAGCCATCATCAACAAAAACATTAAAAATAACTTCAACATCAACAAATGTATTATCTATACGTCGTTCTCATCGTCCATTGATAAATACCAACAATGGATCTTATTCATCTGCCAATTCTACAGCAGATATATCCTCATCATCAAATGGATCTCAACGAAAAAAACGAAAAGTAAAATAATAATATTCAACAAAATTTAAATTAAATCTATGTTTTACAATTTAGGATCGAGCTCTTCAAGATCTTGGATTTGTAAATCCAGGTCCAAAAAATTTAGTTAATGTCGCTAATGTACCATCGAGACGTTTAAAAACTCGACAATCATCTGCACAAGAAAAACCAAGGTAAGTAAAAACAAAAACAAAAAAGCAATTTTATAACGATCATTTCTCTTTTTTTTTTCAAAATGATTCATTTTATTAATATAAATATTTGATATTAACAAAATAGGTAATATTTCATTCATGAATAATTTATATCAAAAGTTATCAAACGATAACGGACAAATATTTTTATAAAAAGCTAAGAATTTTACCTTGAGTATAGACGAATGAGATAAACAATCGTTTACGAACTTCTATGATAACGAATATTATTATAAGTTTATAGACATACAAATTTTTTTTTCGGCGATTTACATTTTTAAACAATAATACGTCATTCTACTTTTGAAATATTTAAAATGACGATCTCCACCTACGACTACTGTGTATTTGATAAAAGAAATATGATAGTAAAGAAGAGATATAAGATCTTCTATTCATATTTTATCATGAATCATATAACATTGATATAAAATATCTGTTGTATGAACTAGTTACTACTAAAACAAATTTGAAATATAACTCTTCGTAAGTATTTACGTAGTTTATCAATATTTATAGATTCTACATTTTTTATTCATTGACAAACATTTAGTATTCTTACAAAAAAAAACGATCATAGAAAAAATTTTCGTTTATTTCATATGGCTATAAGATGTTTGTTGTTCAGTGAGTAGAAATGTAAGCGGTGATAGTTTAAAAATTGATTTGTTTTTTTTTTTTTAATTCGAAAAATTTTTAATTGTAAAAAATAATGATATAAAAATAATCGAAGACATTCACAAAAACTAACTTTAACTATTATTTTTCGAATTATGGTGATGATTTTATTCTATTGATTAATAAAATAAATATTATTCTCTCGTTAGATAATATATTATCATAAGATCTATGTTCTAAGTAAAATTAGAATTCGACTAGAGATAAATTTATACAATTTCATGCTTTACCAAAGGGTAGAGTGGAATGGAAAACAAGAGAAAATTGCGATCGTATCGATAAACGTTATTAATATAGATGTATGCATTAAAATCCAATTAAAAAAAAAATATATAAATCGGATTTAACAACCGGTCGCGCATGCAATAATAAAGGGGAAGTACTCTACAAAATCACGTTTATGTAAAAGAACGGAAATTTTGTTTTTCTGTTTTCGACAAAATGTCATGCAAAAAACAAGATGGTTAAACAAATATGTATCGAAAGATTAAAATATTTTGGCTTGTAAATTATTTAATGAAATGAAAACATGTTTTTGAATAAAAAAACAAAAAAATAATTCTAGTCAGATTTTAATTGTGTGAATTTATCTCTAGTCGAATTCTAATTTTGTTTACAATATCTATTTTGTTTCAAGGATAATTTTCTAAAATGAATAAGAGGATAGATTAGAAATACTCGATTTTTAATTATAAAAACTTCTATAGAACACTTTGTATCATGAGTAGAGCTCACCGAATTCAAAATTTTCGGATCCAACTATACTTTGATACATTTAACAAAACTTTTTAATCGGAATTGGATAGCCGTCCCGAAGGTATGAGATACTTTTTTTCCGATTTTTTGTATTCAGTGGGATGAACACGACGAGCTCTACTCGTGAGGAACGTCTCTCAACTGATAAATCGCGTTTTAGATCGACACTATGTGTATCATGTAGATCCAAATGAATTTTGAATATATTGGAAAGAGTTCGAATCTTTAGTTTGTTGTTACGTAAATACAGTAAATATACGGTAGGTTTTAAGTGAATACTATAGTTCCTCTCAAGGAAACTGATTTTACTGGACACCTTATTCAGAGGTAAATTTTGATGAGATTGATTTATTGTGAAACTTTTAGGTCTTTTGATTTGCGTCTATTGTGAAATATGAAAATCAAATCTACCGTTATAATGGTTGATAGAAAAGTAATTAGACAAAGTATTCATTTAGTTTTCTACCTTTTTAAATAGCTTGTAGAAATTTGAAAACATTGAGTTAAATTCAGAATTTTGTGCTCTTTCCGACTATGGGTTCAATATTATTGTAGGACTTCTGATTTAACAGTTACAAGTCAATCTTTTATAGGCGCGAAAACTAAGTTTGAACGAAGAAAATTGACGTTTATTGCTGCTATTATCTTCTTTACTGCATACGCTATGTTATTGATTTCTTTGCATAGAATTAAAGACAAAATTATTCCCTACTAAACATATAAGAATCAAGAGTTTTACAACAATGATTCAGAAATGACTGAGCTCATTTTGCAAGCCTGTTTTCCATAGAAATCAAGAAGATTATCGAAGTTGACACCAGGGATGGGCGAGTCCGAGTCACTTTTTTTTAATGACTCAGACTCGACTCTGACTCGAAAATTTTGGAAAGTTGACTCGAGTCATTTCGAGTCAATAGTTCAAAAAGTTTGATTTACTCACAGAAAAGTTTACATTATGTCAAATTAAGTTCTTAAAATCGCAACTTTCTTGTCCATAGAATGCATTCAACCAAAAACAGTTTTCAAGAGCAGCCTTCAGCCTATATGTTTAGACATCGAATGTCACAGCTTAACTGTACTATCGAATCCCTTTATAAAAAGAAATGATTTATGTGTGGAGTTGACCTTACTTTTGTTACTTTTCTAATTAAAATAGATTTGTGCTATGGTTTTATTTTCTATGTGACTTTTCATACTTCTGTTTTAGTTCCTAAGAGCTTGTAACTGGATAGTGCGTAATGAAAATCTTTTGTTGATCTTCGTAAAAATAAACTAAGACAAATAATATCGAAAAAAAAAGACTCGCCTCGACTTGACTTGACTCGAAATATTTTTTAAATGACTCGGACTCGACTCGACTCGAGAAAAGGCTTGACTCGCCCATCCCTGGTTGACACGATACCCGTTATCAAAACATTCGCTATTAACAAATAATTCAGAGCTAATTACTCAGTACTATAGTATTTTATTGAGAAATGTTTGTTCTTTTATTTCGTTTTATTTTTTTTTGAATTCTAGTTCAAGTAAACCATTATATGATAAATCAGGTCTTCTTCTTTCCGATGAAGCAGATCGATGTGATTGTAATCGTTTAACATGTCCTGGATGTTTCTTACCTTGTACATCTTGTCATTCATCAAAATGTGGTCTCGAATGTCGTATGTATATAAATATATTTGAAAAAAAATATATTAATATTCATTTTAAATTTTCAATATTAGGTAATCTTCGAACTTATACATATGAATATCGTTTATTTGGTACAAATAAAGAAATAATTCAATAATTATAATTCATCGAACAAACTGTTTTGAAAGAGACAAAAAAAAAAAAATCAAAAAAAGAATATTTGTTATATTTTCTTGTTTGTATATAACATTTATTATTCTGACATATGTTGTGTTTTCTGACTTATCAGAAACATTTCTAAATTGAATTTCTTTAACTCATAATGAGTTAATTTCTATTTCTAGAGTAAAAAAAACGAAGAAAAGAAAAGCATATGTTAGGACAAAAATTACAACGTAAAAAGAAAATAACAACTAGTAAAACTACTAATGTTGCATTAGAAAGTAGTTTAACATCAATGGATTGGTTACCAAAAATGCAAATAGGAGAAAATCCATTACCATCATCGACAACATCTATTAAAGAATCATTATTAAATCCATCATCATCATCATCATTAAATCCATCATCATCATCACCATTAAATCCATCATCATCATCATCATCACTTCCGATAACTTTATCAACAAAAAATATTCAACAAAAACTAGAACAAAATGATATTGAATTACCAACATCAACTAATCATTTAAAACCGCCATATAGTTATGTAACATTAATTCGACAAGCTATATTAAGTGATAATATGCAAAGAATGACATTAAATGAAATTTATCAATGGATTGTTGATTCATATCCATATTTTCGTACAGCACCACCAAAATGGAAGGTTTGATTTGAATATATATATATATATTTTGTTTTTTATTTTGAAATGATAATTTATTTTTTTCTTCGTTTTTGAAGAATTCAATTCGACATAATTTATCATTGAACAAATGTTTTAAAAGACTTCAAAGAAATACAAATGATCCAGGCAAAGTAACGAAAACCAAAAAAGTTTTATCGATTTTGTTTTTCGTTTTTTTTTTTTTGTGATATATATTAGGGTTCTTATTGGGCAATTGATGAATCAAATGAAATTAATCATCAATCGAATTCTCGTAAACGACGAGTATGAGGAAAAGAAAAATTCTTTTAATATTAATTTAATTAATTTTAATAAGTTTGATACACAACAATCTCTTCCGATATTATCTTCATCACCAATTAATATAAATCAAAAATCAACAGTTTCTCCGACAAATAATAATCCAATAATATTTGGTGATAGTAGTAATATTGGTGGACAATCATTATCAACGGATGAATCAGATTCGACTATGTCACTTGCAGTAAATGTAAGAAAAAATACAATTTTATCAAAATTGAAAAATTATTTTATATATTTTGTATATAGTCTACATTAATACATTGGGATGACTTGAACCTTGATTTAACTGCTTCATCTCATCGAGTTTGTGAGCAAATTCTCGATGGTCCATCTACGACATGGACCACAAATTCTGGTACGTAAAATTATTCTCTCGATAAATAAAGAATTTATAGTGAGATATTCTCGAGAAAAAAAATTCAAATGCTCGATTGACAATATTTTTTTTTACATTTATTTAAATAGATCCATCATCGACAAATATTATTATTCCAAATTCTTGGAGTCATGATATTTTTTCTCATGGAGAAACAAATAGTTTTTTTGAAAATGTCAAATTGGCATCGAGTGGTGAAATTAATTGGAATGATATTGATGTTAAACCTTATTGTGGTAAGACTATACTCATTTATATAATTATTATGTGAAACACGATCTAAAACAAATGTTGGAATATAAAGATAAAAACAGGGACAGTAGCAGACACTATCCAGTCAGACAAACAATGAAAAAGAAAACGCGTCGAAGTTTTAATGAAAATAAAATCATGAAAATTGTATATTGTTACGCGTTGAATTTTTGAATGAATATTTTTATATTCGTTCTAAAGCTTTAACGTGTAAAAATGGACGTTTTTGAAGATTTCGTTTTCTTTCAAGATGTTTGACGCATTTCTACACGTTCGTTTACTGAATTAAGTCCACGAACTTGGCGATTTTCGTTAGTAATTCACTTAGTCCAAGAGCCATCATACTTGAGTGTTTACGCTGTACGGCACGTATCCAGTAGGTACTGTATTTAAGCCGCAGTACCACTATTCATGGAATGACTCTGGACAAGTCACTAAAGGCTATTTGTCTCGGATCACTTGTTCGATAGCATGCTGACTAAGTTGCGACATACATTTGCCCTCGTGGCTAGTATGTGATTAGTCAGTGTGTACGGAAAGATTAAGCGACTGAGTGCAAGAATTCTGCATCAGGTTAGCCTTCTGTTCAGAACTACAGCTAATATTAATTGCATGGAAGATATCGGACTAATGAATGTGCCTCTAAGCAGCTATTCATACCGCAAGATAGCCGAAAGACACCAGTATTCTTCCTTTCTTATTCAGTTCAGAAATTAAACGCTCAGTAACGTGTGAAACTGTACGATAAAGACTATTCTAACTATAAGAATTTCATCTAACCATTGGACATTGTGTGAAAATAACATGTATAAAAAGTGTTTGATAAATTTTGGGTTCATTTTTACTTTTTTTTTGTATTTTTTGAATATTCCAAGCTGAACAAACGTTGAATATATATATGGAAGACCACATCTAAGCAACCATCCAAATTTTATTCATTTAACTTCTATCATTAGTAAAAAGATGCATTGTTGGAAAGCAATTATTAAATATTAAAATAATTTCAGTACGTGTATTTTATTGAGTCGAATATTAAACTAGACTTCAACGTCAGTTTTTATATACTTCAGATAAAAAATATACAATATAGAAAAATAAAAGAAAAGCGATCTGATGAAATTATTCGAAGATAATTTTCAATAAAACACTTTCTTATTAATAATACCAGTTGAGTTCAAGAAGTTTTTGATAATGAGATAGATATTACCCTTCAAATATATGCTCTCAATCTGTGTCTAAATTGAGATACTGGAAAAATTTCAAGGATTGAAATGAATTAGAAATGGGTAAAATATCGTATATATAATCAAAATTTATTAATAATATCTAACTAATATTATTCGCTTCTTCCTTATGTCTGCTGACGTAAACAGAAAAACTAAAACAAAAAAAATGATACAAGGCTAAGGAGGGAGCTGTTCAAATCGTTTTTGAATTCAGACTTTATGCATATGCAGAACCCAGTGACGTATGAAAAACTCCAAAAAGATAAGCACTCCTAGGTGCATACCCTCCACAATTATAATCATGTTACTAGAATCTTAGCCTATACGATGGTATTTTGATTTGAAATTTTCAGTTCAAAAGAATGATTTCTTTACAAGATAATAAATTTCCAAAAATCATTCATATTCCATGAAATATGCGAGAATCGCATGCTTTTTGGAAATCCAATATCTTTTGAAGGAAACATTCTAGTTACAAATAAGCCTATTTGTGGGCAAAATTTCAAGTCGAAATACCATCCTTCAATTTGTTTGTATACATCATCCTATAGGTTAAGATTCTAGTGAAAATGACTATAACTCTGAAAGACATGCCTAAGAGCGATTATCCTTTTGGAGGTTTTCATAATTTATTGGGATCTATCTTATGTACCAAGTTCGAACTCGAAACTCATGAGAGCTTGAACCAATTTATCAACAAAGATCAAACAAAATAAAACTCATAAAATCGTGATTTTTTATTTCAATTTTTCTCATAATGAATTTATATTTTCCTTCATTTGTCAAAGTGGAAAATATTATTTCCAGTATGTTATACAACGCTCCCTTGACTCATCTAAAAAAAAATAAACAAAAAGTTACAATGCATATAATTCGTCGAAAATATCATCTAATGCACAATATATGCGGATAGATTTCTTGATAAATAGAAAAGTGATGTAACAGAGGAAACAAATAGGTAGTTATGCTTCAATCGTTTCTGCTCAGTCAAAACAAGTTTTTTGTTTTTATTTACGAAGTGTTTCAGAAGTGTAGTTACTTGTTCATTGTATTATTGTTAAGTTTGTTTTTCTCTTTTAAACGATATTTCTCCAGATCAGCGTCATCGCAATACTCATGTTTTGGTGTGCTCTGCCAGTTAGAACAATTAGTGTATAGAATGTCGTCGGTTTGAAGAAGAACCTTATAACTTTCGTCATTTATTTATATCGAAACGAAAAATAAAGAACTTTAATGGTTCTAAGAAAACTCGACTGTCAAATACATCAACTACACATTCTACGTTTAAAATAATACTAAGAGATGAATTCGTTTACACATGTTGAGTTGCTTAAAAAAACTGAGAAATAACGAGTGATTGTTGAACATAATAATACTCGTTCAGAAATATATACGTAAACAATATGTTTGCTTAGTTGATCTTTCTGTGTTAGAACGCATTTTATTTAAGAGTCTTGTCTAACTGGGTAGCCAGAGGCTGTCACAAGCCATGACCGACGTTGTCAATATGCGATCATAGATCATATATTAACAACGTCTCGTTCTAATATATGAACTACTTCATAATTGCATTTCTGAAGAACTAAGTAAAATGGATAGTGAAGAAATTATGTCATAAAATAGATAGAATAAAACAAATGTTCTGTGATTAGCAACAATAGCTATATTGTGTTTCACATTTTAATCTCGCAGAGATTGTGTTAACAGCTTCTTAACGTCATATATGTATATGTATATGTATAGAATTTCTTGATGGTTTTCGAACAAATCCAGCATTTCAACAACAAGATCGAGATAAATTACTCAATCTTGCTTCATCACTTTCATCTTTTTTCGATTATACGAGTAAATCGAATTTAGCACAAAACAAAATTGCAAGTAAGCAATTTTCTTTTTTGATAAATTGTCTTGGTTTGAAAAACATAGAAATATGATTTATAAAACTGAAAGCAATCAAAATTTGATTAAGATTTTCTTTTGTTTTTAGATAATTTCAAGGTTGTTATTATTTTCATATTTATCTTAAAGAGAAAAAAATAAGGATAAGTCATCATTCACATAAATTATAACTTTATGAAGGTTTATATTAAATACTTTATGTGCTATGACAGGATTAGTACGATAATTGTCATAAATCCTAGAAAATCTTT